CTGGCACTGGCGGTGCTGGTTCTGGGGGTGCTGAGTCTGAGGGGACTGACGCTGGAGACCCTGGTTCTGCGGAGTCCACTCCGCCTCCCCACCGCCACGACACGCGTCTCCAGGCTGCCCGTCGGCGTGAGCGTGAGGAGCAGGAGCGGTTGGAGAGGGAGCGGCAGGAGCTGCGGGTGCTGGACCTTCTGGAGCAGCAGCGGCAGCAGCAGCAGCAGCAGCAGCAGCAGCAGCAGCCGCCGCCGCAGCCGCAGCAGCAGCAGCCGCAGCCGCAGCAGCAGCGGCCGCAGCCGCCACCGCAGCTTCCTCTGGAGCGGCGGTTGTTCCCACCTGTGAGTGGCCTGCGGGCCCTTGGCCTTTCCTCCTCTCCTCCTGTCCGCTCCCAGTCTCCTCCTGTGTTTGTTCCTCCGTTGCCTCCTCCTGACGACCGTCCGGCGGTCTGGTCTTCTCCTCCTCCCTCTGTCCGTCGCGACCTGATCACTCGTTGTCCTCCGCGTGCTCGTCACTCGTCCCCTGTTACTGACCTCCACACTGCCCTCCTTTGTTCGTCTCGTCGTCGTTCTCCTTCTCCTGTGTCCGTTCTCCCGTCTCCTCCTCCGTCCTCCCTACCAGCCCTCCCCACTCCTATCTCTGACTACTACCGCGTTGTTCGTCCTGTTGCCGCACGTGTCCTCGCCACTCTTGTCACCGACTCTCGTTTCCCTCCGTCGTCTGCCTCGGCTCTTACTGCCGCTGTCGCTGAGTTTGCTGCCGCCAGCCACCTTGACTACGCCACCCGTGTGGTGCCAGCTCCTCCCTACCGTCCTCTGTCCGTCGGGGGTGGGTTTGCCCTTGGCTGTGACGTCCTAGAGGACAGAGAGTCTGAGCTGGAGTACTGGGCAGCCGCTTCTCCCTCTGTGTGTGCCATGCTGCTCTCCCCTGAGGGAGACCCCGACGCCCTTGACATACCGACTCCTCGCACTTACCGCGAGGCAGTGTCAGGGGCGTGGGCCTCTCAGTGGAAAGCGGCTATGGACTCAGAGTTGGCGTCTTGGAGATCCACAGGCACCTACGTCGACGCAGTTCCCCCTCCCAGGGCGAACGTAGTCGATGGCATGTGGCTCTTCAAGGTGAAGCGGCCGCCTGGAGCACCGCCGGTGTTCAAGGCGCGCTACGTGGCTAGGGGCTTCAGTCAGCGTGAGGGAGTTGACTTCTTCCAGACCTTCGCCCCGACCCCGAAGATGACTACTCTTCGGGTGTTACTCCACATAGCAGCGCAGCGAGACTACGAGCTGCACTCCCTCGACTTCTCCACTGCGTTCCTCCAGGGCCGACTACACGAGGAGATCTGGCTGCGCCATCCTCCTGGCTTCACTGACACCTTCCCACCTGGGACCCAGTGGAGCCTGAGGCGACCAGTCTACGGTCTCCGCCAGTCGCCCCGTGAGTGGCACGGCACTCTTCGCTCCACGCTTCGTGACCTTGGGTTCAGCCCGTCCTCCGCCGACCCGTCGCTGTTTGTTCGAGCGGGTTCTACTCCTTTCTTTATCCTTGTCTATGTCGACGACTTGGTGTTTGCTACAGCAGACAGGGCAGCCCTGGCTCAGGTGAAGTCCGAACTGCAGAAGAGACACAAGTGCACTGACCTGGGTGAGCTGCAGCGCTACCTTGGCCTGCAGATCACCCGGGACAGAGCCGCTCGCACCATCACACTGACGCAGTCACACATGGTGCAGCAGATCCTTCGGCGGTTCGACTTCCAGTTCTCCACCACACAGCCCACTCCTCTTGCTGTTGACCACAGACTCACGGGCCCCTTTCCTGACGAGCCCTTTGAGTCCAGTGGACCCTACGCAGAGCTGGTGGGCTGCCTCATGTACCTGATGACTTGTACTCGACCGGACCTCGCCTTTCCACTCAGCATCCTTTCTCGCTTTGTTGCGACTGGGAGACACCGCCCTGTCCACTGGACAGCTGCTGTGAGGGTGGCGAAGTACCTGGCGACTACATCAGGCATGGGGCTTGTGCTTGGAGGGACTCAGCCAGTGGCGTTGACTGGTCACTGCGACTCTTCCTACGCTGACGACGTGGAGACTCAGCGTTCGACTCAGGGTTACTGCTTCAGTCTGGGAGCTGGTGCTGTGTCGTGGAGGTCTACACGGTCGTCGTCTGTGGCTACTTCCAGTGCAGAGGCAGAGATCTACGCTGGTGCCATGGCGGCACAGGAGCTTCGCTGGTTGACCTTCTTGCTCGCCGACCTTGGTGAGCGGCCTCGCTCTGCACCGACCTTGTACGCTGACAACAAGGCCATGATCCTCCTGTGTCGAGAGCCTCGACTGGAGAGCAGAGTGAAGCATATTGACGTGAGGTACTTCCTCCTGCGAGAGTTGCAGCGACGCGGTCAGGCACGTTTGGACTTTGTGGCCTCACAGGCCAACACTGCCGACGTCTTCACCAAGGCCTTGGCGCCTGGTGACCACCACAGGTTCTGTGTGCAGTTGGGGCTTGTTGAGGTAGGCCCTCGGTTGCTGTAGACTTGCTGTTTGCTCTACTTGTTGTGCTTCTATATATACTAGTAAACTCTTGAACTGGCCTTGTGGCCACTTGCTTGTGCTCGGAGTGTGTGGTGACTCTGAGCGCCACCCTGAGCTTTGTTTTTTATGCTTGTTCTTGACTGGTCTTGTGACCCCTTGTTTCCGTTGGTTGTTTTGATGCCCCTCACTTAGCCTATGGGGGTGTGTCAAATGTTTATATATTCTATATATTGTTAGATAGGCTACTGTGAGTTGCCCTCTAAAGGGTACAACACTTTAGGTCGACATTTGTATCTCCTTGTCCCTCCTTACTCAAACATTACTCTCGACACTTGTCTCCTAGCCTATCTTAAGATTTTGGGCCCAGCTTGGGGTTCAAGTTGGGTCTGGGTGAACAACTACTAGTTCTTCCGATCATACATCTCTGCTTCTTAATTATGTGTAGCATGTCTAGCCATCGAACAGTCAACTTAGGCCGTTGTTGTTTCAATTTAGACGCGTAGTGAAGCTGGCATGGTTGTGTAGTACTTTGTGACGTTTCGAATGCCCTCTCGCCGCCTTCCTATCTCATCTCGCCCGCCCTCCCGTTCCGATCGACCGTCCTGACGCCGTCCCATTGACCATCCTGACGCCGTCCCATCGACCGTCGCGTCGCGATCATGTCGTCCGTCCCGTCGACGTCCCGTCGCCCTCCTACCGTCATCTCCATTACCCCTCTCTTCCAATCACCCTCGCGATTTTCCCATCGCAAATCTCTCTCTCGCCGCTCCCTTTCCTGAACCAATCGCCTTCTCCTCTCCCTTTTCGTCGCTCTCTCTCTCGCCGCCCCCTTTCCGTTGCAATCGCCTTCTCCTATCCCTTCCCGTCGCTCTATCTCTCTCCCCTCCCTTCCCGTCGCTCTATCTCTCTCCCCTCCCTTCCCGTCGCTCTATCTCTCTCCCCTCCCTTTCCGTCGCTCTATCTCTCTCCCTTCCCTTTCCGTCGCTCTATCTCTCTCCCCTCCCTTTCCGTCGCTCTATCTCTCTCCCCTCCCATCCCGTCGCTCTATCTCTCTCCCCTCCCTTCCCGTCGCTCTATCTCTCTCCCCTCCCTTCCCGTCGCTCTATCTCTCTCCCCTCCCTTTCCGTCGCTCTATCTCTCTCCCCTCCCATCCCGTCGCTCTATCTCTCTCCCCTCCCTTCCCGTCGCTCTATCTCTCTCCCCTCCCTTGCCGTCGCTCTTGCTCTCTCCCCTCCCTTCTCGTAGCCTTAGATGCAGCCGTCGCAAATTTCCCTCCCACCCACCATCACCCACCCCATCGCCTTCCCGCTCGCCACGAAACGCCTTCTCGTCCCCCGCCCACTTTCTCCTCCCATCGCATGCCTGGTCGCCTTCGTGCTCGCACTCAAACGCTCTCCCCGCGCCCTTCCTCTCTCCCTTCCCATCACCGACCTCGTCGCCCTCGTGCTCGTCCCGAAATGCCTTCCCATCGCCTTTCGTCTCTACTCCCCAATCATTAATCTCTGAAACGCTCTCCATCATCGGCCAATCCGCCCTTCGCTCTTGCTATGCAATGCCCTCTCCGCGCCCTTCCTCCCTCCCCTCACAATCTGTCTTCCCTCCCCGCATCCCGTCGTTCCTCTCTACCCTCCCATCCCGTCGTTCCTCCGCTCTACCCTCCCATCCCGTCTTTCTTCCTCTCTCCCCTCCCATCCCGTCGTTCCTCCTCTCTTCCTTCCTATCCCGTCGTTTTTCCCTTCTCCCCTCCCATCCCGTCGTTCCCCCTCTCTCCCCTCCTCTCCCGTCAGCCCCCTTGTCCCCAGTCCCTTCTCTTCGCCGTCGACCAATCAACCGTCCCGTCGCCCTTTCTCTTTTCGTACATCATTTATTTCTTTATTTATATCTTCTTCGCCTGATTTCACCTGTGTGTGCCATGGATTTTGCTTGATCATGCCAGTGTTCGCGCAGGATTTTGCGAGTTTTTGCCTGTGCGCGCTGGATTTTGCCTGTGTGTGCGCTGTTTTTTTGCATATGGGAATTCTTGTGAAGTTACGACGGCTGCTATGTTGAATGTGGGGTTGCAGCCTTGCGCCGAATTCGCATACGAATGTGGGTGAAAGTCGCCACCAATAAGATTTGTAAACAAGTTCCTCATGTTTCCCGTTCAGATCAAGACTCGTCTGGGATGAAAAAAAAGTAAACACGCACAGGCCGTCAACTTTTCAAACGTTCGTAACGAGCTTGTGTTTTCAAGTGGACCCAACTAGAAGGGGGGGGTCACTATTTTAGCTGCTGGCTTTAATGAGGCTCTTGGCAAGACAGGATAATTTACACACCATTCTGGCGTTAAAAATATCCTCTCCAGCAAATTGTTGCCTTTCAAGCTGGGTGATGGATCTTCAAGAGCACGCACTAGTGCCTTCGCCTACAACTTGAACTGGCTACTGACTTAACATCCATGGAGAGGGCCAAGGCAGGACAGAATGCATCATCACACTTATGTACACACTACCTCTCACTGTTGGACACCATTCTCTTAAGCCTATGATTGTCATTTTCCAGGCATGAAACTTTAACTTCCAGAGCGGACACCTGTGCTTCCAGTGAAGATATTATTTGGTCTTTTGCCAGCAACTCCGACTGGCAATTCATTCTGCAACCATGTACGGCAAGGGAAGGCAGATTGGCAAACAACAGACAGATTGAGTGCCCATGTCCATGGAGCAGAAACAAGCAAACATGACAGGAAGCGAGTGCAGCTAGCTGCAAAAAAAATGCGGAAAATGGTTGCACAAGTGAGCACCGTACAGTTGGGTCATGGCTCGCTCAAATCGCAGCTGAAGCCGCAGCAGCGCCCGCAACTCGTGTGATGACGATTCCCCCTTAGAAGCTGAACCACCCGCACCCCAACCCCACCGGAAACCACTCCATATGTCCTCCTGTGCCCCCAATCTCTGCCCCTTTGTTCCATTTCTCCCACCATCACCTCTCGCTCTCGACTCTTGCATTGTCAATCCCCCTCTGAAACTCCCATTTCTGTCATCCAGTCTTCCTGTATCCCATCCTGTCCCCCCCTCACCCTGCCTCCACATCTCCCCTGTTCTGCGCCCATCCATCTCTACACTGTCACCATCAGCCTGCTTATCATTGTCTCTGCACCTCCTCTCAAGCTCCTGCATAAAATGGCATCTCTCACTCCTGTCCTTCCCCCCTTCTCTTCCTCTCCCTCCTCCTATTTCCCCCGCATCTCCCACAATCTCCCCACCATCCACAGCTGCCTTGCCAGATCGCCCACCAGGCAACCCCAATCCTCTGGAGCGGGCAGCATGACATGCTCCTCCTGACATGCCTGGGGTTGGAGAGAGCTCGCTCCATGTGAGCATGGGGGGTGTGACTGTATGGGGAGGAGAGGATGGAAGGGATGAACACCCGACAGGGTACTTCGATGTGGGAGACACAGCAGCTGTTGCGGATTCGTTTCCGGGATGCAGAGCAGTGACAGTGGGGACTATGGAGGCACTGGCTGTAAGGGCACTTGCTGAGGGTAGCGTGAAAGATCGACACACTGATTCTATTGCTGCTGCTTCAGTTGCCGAGCCTCCTCTCAGAGATGTTTCTGCTGGTGGTGCAGATACCCTTGACGGTGCATCCATGCGCAATCTTCCCTCCGAATTACCATTCCCGTGTATCTGCTGGTGCATGGCAGAGGCCAGCTTGCCTCTACTCCCATCAGCCTCTGAAACATCACCCTCTGCTGCCTGACAGGATCCATTCATTCCCTCTCCCCATCTCCCCACTCCCTCCCTCTCCACACCCCCCTCACCCTCTCGTTGACCAATCCTTCCCGAGTCACTCCAAACAGCGTCCTCCCTAACTTCATAACCCCTTCCTCCCATCCTTCCATCCTCCTCCTCTTCCTCCTCCTCAAATCCCCCCTCTTCAAAGAATCCCACCACACCAGCGAACCCAGAGGCATGCCCCAACCCTCGGGATTCTGCCAGCACTGCCAGCAGCGACGGCTCAAAGTCAGAAGCATCAGAGGGAAAGGAATCAGCTGCTCCTGTCGTACAGTGATCCGTGGCAACTTCTCGTGGTACAGCCTTGCCTTGAATACAGCTTCGGCCTTCAATGCAGTGAGCTGCGCCTGCAGTGCTATTCCGGTCAGCTGCTGCTGCTGCTTTTGCCGCTGCTGCTGATGCTGTTGCTGCGTCTGCTGCTGCTGTTGATAATGAGGATACCTGTATGCTAGATCCGATTTCCAAAGGGTGGTGCTCACATGCTGTAACGCACACTGCGCCTTCAGGTGACTGTTCAGGAGCTTGTTCAGGTGGTTCACATGCAGCCTCTCCATGCCACGCCACACCATTCCCCCCACTCACATCGTTTCTGTAGCTGCTACAGCCGTCACTCCTGACACCACTGCTGCCGCTACAGGTAGCACCTGTATCCTCTGAACCACCTGCTGCTGCTGGCATGTGCCTCCCATCTGTACCAACAGCAATAGCTGCTGTAGCCGCAGCTACCGTAACCACAGCTGATCCCTCTGCAACCGTGGTCACATCAGCAGCGCCTGCTGTTGCATCAGCATGTGGTGACGAAGATAGCCTGGCGAGTCGAGCTGCAATGGCAGCAACAGTGGGGGGTCTGCCTCTATACGTGGGAGTGGAGCCTGCTATAACGGGAGTAGAGCCTGCTGTGAACAAAGGGGTGGATGCCGCTAGCATGGGCGTCGCAAACGCCGAACCCGGCGTTCCCCAGTCGTTGTCCGAGCAGAGGGATAGGAACGAATCGGAACGCGGCGAGTCAAATGCACCGTCGTCATCAGACAGCGAATCACAGTGTGCCAGCTCAGCTGCCCCTCTGACAGCACGAGCAGAACCAGCCACAACCCTTACAGCAGTGACAGATGCAGCAGTCATGGAACCTGCAGGTGAACCATCAGGTGCCATGGCAAGGGAAGTAGAAGCAGCAGCATTACCTGCTACCTGTCCCTGCTCTGCTACCTGCCCCTGCCCTGCTAGCTGCCCCCCCTCCATGACCCACTGCGCCACCCGTGGATCGTGTGCCTTCTGTGAGTGCTGCCCTTGCATCTGCTGCAGCGGCTGCTGCCGCTGCACCTGCCCCTGGTGCTGCTGCTGCTGCTGCTGCTGCTGCTGCTGCTGTTGGTGCTGCTGGTGTGGCCTCGATTCAGTCCTATTCGCAGACGAAGCGGGGGGGTTGGCGGTGAGGGTAGGGGTGGGGCTGGTGATGGTGGTGGCGAGGGGATGATTTGCAGGGCGGGCGGGGGGAGACGAACCTGGGCGCTGATGGTGCGAGGATGAGGGAATAGAGCGTGCGCCATGAGAGGATGGAAAATCAGATGGTAGAGCAGATGGTAGGTGGGACGGTGGGTGGGATGGTGGGTGAGAAGGTGGATCGGATTGTAGGTGGGGTGGTGCGAGTGGTGGAGGATACATTGGAATGGCATGGCCTTGTTGGATCATGCGTGACTGTTGGAGAGACGAGGAGGTGGGATGATCGGATGATGGTGGGTGGGATGGTGCGAGGGGTGGAGGGTACGTTGGAACGGCATGGCCTTGTTGAATCATGTGCGACTGTTGGAGAGACGATGAGGCAAGGGGCGAGGAGGAAGCACGGGAGGAGGAGGAGGATGATGGCACGTCAGGAATAGAGCACCCAGATTCCACCAAGCCAGCTCGAACACACAGGCACTCCACCTGGAACGAAAGGGCGGGGAGCAGGGAGGGTGTTGCTGGCAATGAGGTGTTGACAATGAGGTGCGGGCATTACCTCAGTCGTGACACCAAGCTTGGCAGCAGAGGTGGGTTGGATGATGGCGCGCACACACAGGCACTCCGCCTGGCGAGGGAGGGCAGGAAGGGCAGGAAGGCGAGGGAGGGGGGAACTGGGAACAGCATGTTGAAGACAGCTTGGCAGCCCCTTCGGCAGCAGGAATACCTTATGGCTTGTTGAAACTCGAAACCAGGGATACAACACGTGTGTCCCCCATGCCACCCGAGGTTTCAACAAGTCAGCGCCGGCACTTCACACCTGGTGAGGCAGGGCAGGGAGCAGAGGGGAGAGTTGGCAGTGGTGGCAGTCAGTTGCGGACAACACCTTGGCATTCAAGCTCTCAGGGGTGCCGCCGAGCCGGCACGCACACACAGGCACTCCAAGGTACGACCCTCCACGCGGAATTCACCCGTTCTCCACCCACCTGCCCTCCACACTTTCTTGCCTGCAGGGACGTGGCTGCAGCAGTCACAGACAGCAGCTCCATTCACCTTTTGAGACGACTCAAACCCCCCGAGTCAAGTCAACCCCTGACCCCCTGTCAAGTCAACCCCCCCGAGTCATACTCTAATCACCCTCGTGTCTATACCAACTTACGTCCCTCCCCCCGCCCTCAACACTCTCTTACCTGCAGGGACGCGGCAGCATCTCCATGATCCATCCATCGCTCTTTCGAGACGCCCCAACCCTCCGAATGAACTCAGCCCCTGTCCATAGCCATTTTGACCCCCCCTGACTACTTACCTGCAGGGACGCGGCAGCAGCAGTCACAGACAGCAGCTCCATCCACCTTTTGAGACACTTTAAACCCCTCACGTCAAGTCGGTCCCCATATTCTTACCTGCAGGGACGCGGCTGCAGCAGTCACGGAGAGCAGCTCCATCCACCTCTCAGCTGCCTGCTTGCTCTCCGCCGCCAGGTGGTGCGATCCCATTGGCCCGCGGATGTCTGTGGGGGAGCAAAGGAAGGCGGATTCAGATAAAGCACGTGAAACACGTGAAAGAGGTAGAAGGGAGGGAAGGCAAGCATACAGAAGAGAGATGGTTACCGAGTCAAGATTCAAAGAGAAAAGGGAAGGAAGCTGTGCAGAAGGAAGAGGAAGATCAGGAGGAAGAAGAAAATGAGGCAGAGGAAGGCTGGGAAGGTGACTCACAGAAGCAGGACCAGGTGGGGTGGTTGGCCGGGGAGCTGCACGTTGGGGTCAGGGAACAAGGAAGAGAAAGGCGAGACGGACGAGGCAGGGGTGGGAATGAAGAGGAATATATTTGAGTCGACTCAAAAATTGACCAGGTGGGGTGGTTGGCCGGGAGCTGCACGTTGGGGTCAGGAAACAAGGACTAGAAGGGGAGACGGACGAGACAGGGAGGCGAATGAAGGGGAAGTGGGAGAGATGAAGTGCACGACCAGAAAACAGTTTGCAGAACGATTCTAGGAAAATCAAGGTGACTTACTGCACCACCCCGAGAACTACAGGTGAGGCAAGGGGACTGCAGAAGGGGTTAGGATGCAGCAAGAATTCACACCTCAGCACCCCCACACTCGCGTCCACCAATGCAATCGTGCCACGTAGGCGCGAATCTCCCTCCCTGATCTTATACAGCAGCCGTGGCGCGCCTCGATGCAGAATGAACCAGCGGCGCCGCCATTGGCGCAGCTGATCGCTGAGCTTCCACAGCTCCCCCTCTAGCGTCTGGCCTTCTAGAAGATGAGATTCCGCTAATCCGCGTGAATTGCGGAGGGACCAAGCCGCCATTGGAAATACCGTTAGAGAGTGGCTTTCGGAAACGGGGGTTATGAGCATCCGACGCTATGAGCATTCAAGGGTATCAGCATTCGAAGCCATCAGCATCAGAATTCAGCCTGGACTTCTGCCAGCAGAGATTCCGCTAATCCATCTGGTCTGAACGTTACGTGAAGTGTCGCTATGCGCACCAGAGCCGGTTGCTTACAACGACGTCACGGATCTCCGCAAGAAGGTCTAGATGCCGGGCTCGAATGCCCGCGGTTGCAATATTCTGAGATTCATCTGAATGCGCATGTAACAAAGTCGACGAACAACATAATCAGGGACCGACGCAAAGACACACGTACGGGTGACGGATCGTCTTACTGCCGATGGACGGTCCTGCTAAGGTCGCTCGTGGGTCCTACTATCTCCGAATAAACTAAGCACACAATAAGCTGAGTGTCGCCATCAAGAATGGCGAGGGTTGGAAAAACGCTTGTGTGTGGTGAAGGAAGTCATAATGCGATGCAGTGCGTTTCTGAAGGTTGAATGTGCTGAAGCAGTGGGATCCACATCAGCTTCAAACGACACTGCTACCTGACCTGCCTGTCTGCGACGTCAAGTTACTGGATAGAAATGACGGTGCAGCGCTTAACGAAGATTTGATTAGATGAGCGACGATTGCGAAGAATTGGGAACGCCTGTGCTGTTTCGGCAAGATCGATGCGCGGAGCCCAACCGCCACTGCGAGCGAAGCTTATGAACAGAAACGGCTGGACACCGCTTGTAACACCAAATTCGTTACGGTATCTACTGCACACTGCGATCTCCCAATAATTACCGTATATTCGGTTTCACGACGCTCGCAACATGTCTAGCGAATCTGATTGCAGGGGTGAGTGGTTCTGCATTCGCGAAACCTTTGTTCCAACAATTCCCCAGGTACACGCATTTCGTATACATTTGCAAAGGGTGGGTTCAGAAGTTTTGAAATTTGAAAATTGGTTACCCTATTACAGCTTGCTCCCCTCGTCCACAAGGGAGTTGATCCCCCACAACACCCCGCACCAGCGAGCGCTGGTGATTCAAAACTTTTGGAAAAGTATACGGATTCTCGCGTGTCTGGAAAGGCAACCACTACGCACGACATGCGGCATAAGCGGTAGATAAACACTTCGTGACTCAACAGCCAGGGCAAATAACTCGTTTCCGACACAAACGTATTCAAAACTACAAGTAGGTTCTGTACGGTCTGCACCACCTCCCGTTCCTCTCTCACACTCGCTGTCCCGCATCACACGCGTGTGACCTCGAAACAGCGCTAGCTGCGGCGCTATCTTTCAAACAAGACCCTTCCCCTACCACCATCTTCACGGCTTCACAGTGAACCGGCCTCACATCGCATGGAATGCGATCCCTAGCGATAGAATGGGCCGCGACGAAGCTGCTTTGCGTCGTAGGCGACGAGAGGCTGCGCCTCCCTTCCCTTCGCGACCTTTCGTCGCCTTCGGAGAAGCCGCGCCTCCTTTCCCTCGCGTTGTCACGTCGCCTAGCGATAGGCGGCGCCGAAACTCCCCTTTGCGCCTGCTTATCCCCTTCCCTTTTGCCGCCTCGCCATCTCACAATCCCACCTCCCCATCTCGCATTATCTCCTCCCCATCTCCGCTTCCCACCTCGCCGTCTCCCTTTCCCACCTCCCCATTTCCACTGCCAAGTTCCTTTTCAGCAGCCCCATCTCCACTTTTCAAATCCCTTCCCTTCTCCCTCTCTTCCCTTTCGATCTCCCCTTCCCGCCTCCCCATTTCCCCTTCCCGCCTCCCCATTTCCCCTTCCCGCCTCCCCATTTCCCCTTCCCGCTCCCCATTACCCCTTCCCGCCTCCCCGTTTCCCCTTCTCGCCTCCCCAATTCGCGTTTCCGCCTCCCCGTTTTCCCTTCCCGCTCCCCATTACCCCTTCCTGCCTCCCCGTTTCCCATTCCCGCCTCCCCAATTTCCCCTTCCCGCTCCCCATTACCCCTTCCCGCTCCCCATTACCCCTTCCCGCCTCCCCGTTTCCCCTTCCCGCCTCCCCAATTTCCCCTTCCCGCTCCCCTTTACCCCTTCCCGCCTCCCCATTTCCCCTTCCCGCCTCCCCTTTACCCCTTCCCGCCTCCCCATTTCCCCTTCCCGCCTCCCCATTTCCCCTTCCCGCCTCCCCATTTCCCCTTCCCGCCTCCCCATTTCCCCATTTCCTTCCAGGCCTCCCATTTTATTCCAGCCCCTTCCATCCCTTTCCAGCCCCTCCCATCGCATCCCCATGTCGTGCCACCCTGTCTCTCCCTTCCCTCTCTGTGCCACCCTGTCTCTCCCCTTCCCTCTCTGTGCCACCCTGTCTCTCCCCTTCCCTCTCTGTGCCACCCTGTCTCTCCCCTTCCCTCTCTGTGCCACCCTGTCTCTCCCCTTCCCTCTCTGTGCCACCCTGTCTCTCCCCTTCCCTCTCTGTGCCACCCTGTCTCTCCCCTGTGCCACCCTGTCTCTCCCCTTCCCTCTCTGTGCCACCCTGTCTCTCCCCTGTGCCACCCTGTCTCTCCCCTTCCCTCTCTGTGCCACCCTGTCTCTCCCCTTCCCTCTCTGTGCCACCCTGTCTCTCCCCTTCCCTCTCTGTGCCACCCTGTCTTTCCCTTCCCTCTCCAGGCCACCCTGTCTCTTTCCAGCCCTCTCCATGCCACCCTGTCTCTTTCCAGCTTCCTTCCCTCACGATGAGAGTCTAACCTAGTGCAAACCCTCTCTCGCTGTCTCTCCCTTTCCTCCGTTACTGTCCTTTCCACCCATCCCTCCCATTTTTGCCCTTCCCTTACTGCCCTCGTGTTCATGCCCGTCTTCCATACCGTCATATCCCTGCCCTTTAGTTGCCTGCCCTTCTCTACCAGCCTTTCCCTTCGTGCCGTGCAGTCAACCACCATTCCATATTTCCCCTCACTTCCCTTCCCTCCCTTCCCTAGCTGCCCTTGCTTGCATTCCAGCACGTCACTGCCATTCCAATTTTATTCCTGCAATTCCCTCCCTCTCCCTTTACAGTCTAACTAGCCTTCCCTCTTTGCCCGTGTCTTCCTGTCCTTCCTGTACCGCCCATTCCTTACTGTCAATCCCCTATTGCTGCCTAGCCTACACATCTCCTCTCCTTGCCTTTCATCTCCATCCCTTCACCCAATATCATGCCTCCCATATTTTTCATCTCCATCCCTTCACCCAATATCATGCCTCCCATATTTTTCATCTCCCCTCCCTACCTCCCCATCTCCAAACCTTGCCTTCCTATCTCCCCTCCCTCCCTTCCTATCGCCCTTCCCTACCAGCCTTTCCTACCGCCTCATTTGTTCCGTCTACAAGCTCGACTAAGCCAGGCCCAGGCAAGCTTAGCGGTGTAAAGAGACATGCAGAGGATGCAAGAGCAGATGCACGATTTCGAGATGAATTCTAGAGCTGTAGCTGGAATAATCAAATGTCGCATGTCACATACAATACTGTGCTGTGCCCATATGCATCGTGCAATGATGCTGTACGCAAAGAAGGAAGGGAAGTTGTTTCTAGGTACTTCCATCAACATTTTGAATAAACTGATGTGTTATGGCGTGCTATCAAATCACTTGATTGATATGCTAACGGCACACACAGGCTGGAACTTCCTGCCTATTTATTTGGTTTCACTAAGCTGCAAAGAGCTGCACTCAGAATGAGAAGGCCTGGTGTCCGTCGTGTTGTGCTGTCGAAAAAATCAGAAAAGAAAAGAAGAGAAAGAAAACAGAAAATGGCAAGCTGCAGAAGAAACAGAGGATAAGTTGGAGCGGAAGGGAGGGGAAGCAAAGGGGGAGCAAGGGTAGCACGGGGGGAAGTAAGGAAGGGTAAGCAAAGGGGGGAGGAAGGGAAGGAATGTGCAGCATGGGAGGGCGCTGCAGCTCCCTCGCGCACGCCAGCAGCATGAGCGCACTCACCTGCCGGCAGGGTGGGGCAGGGCAGGGTAAGGAAAGCACGGGAAGGGCATGACAGGGCAGAACAATGTGTGGAGAGAGGAGAGGGAGAGAGGCATGTAGGGAAGATATCAAGCCCGTGTGACAGGGTAACACGTGAGAGGCTTGAACTCAGTGGGTTGTGGGAGCTGCATGTGTGACACCTGGAGCGCTGACGAGCGCATTCGAGAGCAAACGCGGCAAAATAAGAGCAAGGGCGGACTAATCCGGCGCAAACGAATTGTCCCTCTATGCCTATGTGCGCCGCACACAGTTTTGCACTCACCCGGACCCTCCTCGAGGGTAATGGGGGGAAGGAGGGGGTAAATGAGGGAAAGGAGAGGAGGAAATGAGGGGAGGAAGAGGGGAAAATGAGGGGAAGGAGGGGTAAAGGAGGGGTAAAGGAGGGGACGGAGAGAGGGAGAGGAGAGGACGGAGAAGGGGAAATGTGGGAAGCGGGAGGGGGAGATGAGGGGACACAGAGGGGGGAATGAGGGTAAGGAAAGGGTGAATGAGGGGAAGGAGGGCGAAATGAGGGGAAGGAGAGGGGGAAATGAAGGTAACGAGAGGGAGGATGGGGAGAAACGAGAGGGGGAAAGGGGGGAAATGAGAGGGAGAAGGGGGGGAAACGAGAGGGGGGAGGGGGACAAATGAGAGGGGGAAGGGGGGGTTACGAGAGGGAGGAGGGGGGGAAATAAGAGGGAGAAGAGGGGAAAACGAGTTTGAGAAGGGGGGGGAACGAGGGGGGAAAGGGGGGAAATGAGAGGCGGAAGGGGGGGAAACGAGAGGGGAAAAGGGGGGAAACGAGAGGGAGGAGGGGGGGAAATGAGAGGGAGAAGGAGGGGAAACGAGAGGGGAAAAGCGGGGAAATGAGAGGGGGAGGAGAGGGTAATGAGAGGGAGAAGGGGGGAAATGAGAGGGAGAAGTTGGGGAAACGAGAGGGGGAAGGGGGGAAACGAGAGGGAGAAGGGGGGGAAACGAGATGCGGAAGGGGGGGAAATGAGAGGGGGAAGGGGGGGAAACGAGAGGCGGAAGAGGGGGAAACGAGAGGCGGAAGGGTGGGAAACGAGAGGGAGAAAGGGGGGAAACGAGAGGGAGGAGCTCCGGGATAATGAGAGGCAGAAGGGGGAGAAATGAGAGGGAGAAGGGGGGGAAACGTGATTGAGAAGGGGGGGAAACGCGAGGCGGAAGGGGGGGAAATAACGAAATGGGTTATGAGCCGAGCAGCGCGTGAGGCGAGTTTTGTGCCGATTCGCCTTGGGTGAGGCATGCGGCGGGTGAGGCGAGAAGCGGGTGACGCGCTAAACGGATTTTGCGAGCACCGTGTTTGGCGAGGAGCGGGTATCGCGATCAGCGGGTTTCGCGATCAGCGGGTTTCGCGATTAGCGGGTTTCGCGATCAGCGGGTTTCGCGATCAGCAGGTTTCGCGATCAGACGGTTTCGCGACCAGCGTGTTTCGCCATCAGCGGGTTTTGCGATGCATGATGGCGCTAGGCGAGAAGCCCGCAGGGTGGAACGCGGCGGCTCACTCAATAATGTATCGCGGGTTCGACGATTGCATCGCGGCGAGCCAGCATAATGCAACTCGTCGAGGCGCTCGCCGTGTGCCGCCTGGCATCGCTCGACGAATGCTACGCGGCGGCCCATCCGAATGCAAACCGCCCCTACAGCTAAAGGATTTTGTATAGCCCCGTGTCCCCTTACCACGGGCGATTAGGTCAGGGTGAGTAGTTGCGCTGCTAGTTCTATCAAGGCCTTTCCTAGTAATCAGTTGCTTATACTTGTGTTTGTGAGTGTCGCTCAAGGGTTGGGTGACGGGAGAGTTTCTCGTGTTCCCACCCCTCAATCCTCCAATTTTTCGCAACCCCTCTCGCCAAACCCTTCTTTTCGTTGGGGCGAAATCTTGGTGGCTACTGTTCCACCACAAACAGTACTTTCAAATGTATACGAAAGCTTGTCCAGCACAGCTACTTCCACCCTCATTACCACTGCCCTCACGGAGGCGAGCAGTAGGTACAGCCGATCGCTGCTTGCTGTTTCTTGCTACCGAAGGCTTGGCTTGCGTAATTCTATTCCGAAGGTTATGCGACGTGGCTGCTGGTAGCTCTCCGCAAGCACTCGTCCTCGTTTAACCGTACGGCACGTCATAAACGTTTAATCAGGATATTTCCGCTCGTTGCGCTAGTTCGAGCGTCGCCGTCTTTCACGCATCGGCGGTAACGGTCACCATGCTCGGGCCGGACGTGCCGCATCGGGTGAATTCTGACGGCCACGACGAGGGTGGCTTCTCCTTCTTCGTAAGCCCCCGTCGACTGTCCTCAGCGGATGTTATTGTGACTTCTCTTGATCTTCACGTATTGGCCTTGCGATCTCAAGAGTAGAAGGGAATTTGGAGCGTTTCTTTCTCTCGCGATTCACTTTTTATTGTTGTTCTGCTTCTTGATTGCCTTTTTAGGGAGGAGCCAGCACCGCCGCCACCGCCAACACCACCACCACCGCAACCAGCACCAAGGTTACTGAACCTACTGCCGCCTCACTCCACCCATTCGCCGCCTTTTCCACCCCCAAACAACCCCCAGCCACGAAACTTAATGGCACCGCACCCAACACCGCTGCACCCATCACGACTTCGCACCTTTTCCGGCCTTCTGGGAAGAGCCAATCAGGCGCGTCCACGTCATCTCTTCCCTCTCCTCCCATGGTAGCTGCTGCGTCCGTGCCTCTGGAAAGAAGCAGAGAGACAGATGCAGGCGTCGCAAGCACTGGGGGAGCAGCAGGTGCTGCTGTTAACGGTGCTACAGCTGCAGCGGCGGCAACAGGAGGAGGAGCAACAGCAGCTGGTGCGAAAAGGCAGCCGCGGAAGAAGTTCATTCCGGAGCAGGGTTTGAGTCAGATGAGCTGGCGTAAGGCCAGCGCCGCTGCTGCCAATGATATAGCCCGTACGTGTGTGACGGTGGGTGCAAGTGGGTGAGTGTGGGTTCGAGTGGGTGACGAGGGGTGCAAGTGGGTGATGGTGGGTGCAAAGAGGTAAGGAAATAGTTCATTCCGGAGCAGGGTTTGAGTCAGATGAGCTGGCGTAAGGCCAGCGCCGCTGCTGCCAATGATATAGCCCGTACGTGTGTGATGGTGGGTGCGTGGGTGAGGATGGGTTCGAGTGGGTGACGGTGGGTGCAAGTGGGTGAGGTTGGGAGCAAGCTGTTCAGGGTGGCCATGAGTGTGTGGAGGGTATTCGCCCTCTTGCTCCCTCCCATCTGCCAGGGTACCGCATGCAGCACAAAAGTGCCATACATATGGAGAGCTCTCTCTGACCGTGTGGCCAGCTCAGCGCTGTTCGCTTTCTCTCCCAATCACCCTCTTGCTCTCTCCCATCTCCCAGGGTACCGCATGCAGCACCAAGGCGCTATACAGGTGGCAGCGGTTGCTTGCTCTCTCTTACCACGTGTGCGTGCGCTGCTTAACATTGTTCACTTTCCCTCCCATCACCCAGGCTACCGCATGCAGCACCAAGGGGCCATACGCATGTCGGAGGTGAAGCGGCACAAGAGGGAGGACGATGCATGGACCGTGGTGCGAGGCAGAGTCTACAACGTCACACCCTACCTCGACTTTCACCCGGGAGGTGAGTCGTTGCTGCCATCTCTCTGTTCCCCCTCCTCCCCACCCCCTCCGTTCCCCCTTTGTTTGTTCTGATAAGTTCATTGACTATGACATGGCCCCTGTCTCCATGTGCGACTTTCCCTATCCTCTCCCCTCTCCCCCTCCCCCTCATGCTGTGACTGCAGGGAAGGCTATTCTAATGAAGGGCGCAGGCAAGGACTGCACAGCCCTCTTCAGTAAGCTCTTACTACCACAACCCTACGCCCTCTTCCCCCTCGTTCTCTTGTTTTCTCGCCATCTCCTTCTGTCCTTCCCTGTTACTCAGCTTCTGGCTTTTCTTGTTTCCCAACTGTCACGGCGAATTTTTAGATCTTGTGTCCGTAGCCTTGCCTTTTCTCTCTTTCTGCCCGTCTTGTCAGAGTAATGCAATAGTAGCATAATCAGAGGCTGTTGCCCGCCGGGTAACAAACGCCCAAACAACACCACACATTAAGAGCCTAACCACATTACCCTCCCCCCCCCCCACTTCTTCCCCACCCCCCCAAGCAGACAAGTACCATGCGTGGGTGAATGCGGACTTCCTATGAGACCAATGCTCCCACTTATTGCCACCCACTCACTTTCAACCAACCTCATTCTCTCCTGTCCCCTCATCCCTCATCCCTCTTCCCTCCTCCACCAGACAAGTACCATGCATGGGTGAACGCGGAGTTCCTATTGGACCAGTGCTTCCTGGGCATGCTCATTCCTCCCACAAACCCCCCAACGAGACAAGGACCATGGATGGGTGAATGCGGAGTTCCTATTGGGCCAGTGCTTCCTGGGCATGCTCATTCCTGAAGACTGATGCCGAGGGAGGGGCAATGAACCAAGTGTCTCTCGTTTCTCCTCCACTGCCCTCCCTCCCACAACCCCCCACCAGACAAGTACCATGCATGGGTGAATGCGGAGTTCCTATTGGGCCAGTGCTTCCTGGGCATGCTCATTCCTGAAGACTGATGCCGAGGAAGGGGCAATGAACCAAGTGTCTCTCGTTTCTCCTCCACTGCCCTCCCTCCCACAACCCCCCACCAGACAAGTACCATGCATGGGTGAATGCGGAGTTCCTATTGGGCCAGTGCTTCCTGGGCATGCTCATTCCTGAAGACTGATGCCGAGGGAGGGGCAATGAACCAAGTGTCTCTCGTTTCTCCTCCACTGCCCTCCCTCCCACAACCCCCCACCAGACAAGTACCATGCATGGGTGAATGCGGAGTTCCTATTGGGCCAGTGCTTCCTGGGCATGCTCATTCCTGAATACTGATGCCGAGGGAGGGGCAATGAACCAAGTGTCTCTCGTTTCTCCTCCACTGCCCTCCCTCCCACAACCCCCCACCAGACAAGTACCATGCATGGGTGAATGCGGAGTTCCTATTGGGCCAGTGCTTCCTGGGCATGCTCATTCCTGAAGACTGATGCCGAGGGAGGGGCAATGAACCAAGTGTCTCTCGTTTCTCCTCCACTGCCCTCCCTCCCACAACCCCCCACCAGACAAGTACCATGCATGGGTGAATGCGGAGTTCCTATTGGACCAGTGCTTCCTGGGCATGCTCATTCCAGATGACTGATGCTGGGGGTGATGCCTGCTCAACCCAATGTGCTACTATCGAAGCTGACTTAACCGTGCATGGGCTGAGATGAGATGACTAAGGAGGAAGGAAGGACTACCGGTGTTACAAGCATGCGCATTCCCGATGACTGGGACTGAGCGGGACACTCAAGCGAGCTTGCTTGCTCTACTTATTGCACTAATTGCTCCTGAAGCTGACTTGACTACACGTATGTGATAGATGATGAGATGACAAAAGGATGGCCTGTGCTTTCTTTTACCGTATGACTTGTGATGGGATAGGCTCGGCAGTTAAACGGTGGTAACTATATCATTGCGTCTGATCTGATGTGGGTGGTTGAGACTCATTCATGAACGACTTGGAGAAACAAATGCTGCTGCAATTCAGTGCAACGGAGAGCGAAGGTGTTCGGCTGGTGGTTGAATCGTGGAATCGAACGTCAAAGCACACAACCATGTTTCTTGTTAGTTGCAGGAAAACGGATTACGGATTCCTTTTCCTGTTACACCCCGGGTACTAACGGATTGTGCTCCATAAGGGCTGGTTGGAAAATTACCTGGAGATCCATTGCTAACAGGCACAACAAAACAAGTCTCCCAATGCTGAGTCGATTTCCTGTTGGTCAATAACATCACAGCTAGTTAGGAGTAGCGGTATGTGATGCAAAACCCATCAAGGGGACACCTAGTCATCACATAGCTCCTGCTGTTGATACACGAAAATCACATGAATATCGTATAATGAAATGTAGCACTTGTGACAACGAAGGTCCACTTTTTATGTAAGATGGCTGGAAGGGTGGCTGGGAGGGTGGCTTTGCGGGTGGCTGGCTGGGATGTGCTGAGCGGAATTGGATGTGGCAACAGTAACTCCCCCTGCAGTGGCAGTCCCAGAAGGGACAGCAGGGGCAGCAGGCACAGCAAGGGCAGCAGGCACAGCAGGAGTACTAGCTACAGCGGGCAGTGCAGGAGCGGCAGCAGCAGCATATCCAGTGAGTGAGAGTGAGAACCCCCTCGCCGCCTCTGCTTCTGCTGAAGCTTCGTGACGTGACTCACAGAAACCACCGCCACCGAATGTGTCCGCTGCAGGAGATGGTGCGAGTAGTGGGGGGATTGATTGTGTGGGCAACACCTGGGGAACTGAGACTGAAGGGAGCGGCTGGGAATGCGTGACTGAAGGGAGGGGTTGAATCTGTGTGGGGGAAGGGAGCAGCGGAGTTTGTGTGGGTGAAGGGACGGGCTCAGTCTTTGTGACTGTAGGGAGAGGCCTAGTCTGTGTGGGTGAAAGGATGGGCAGCCCATGTGTGACTGTAGAGGGAGGCGGAGTCTGTGTGACTGTAGAGGGAGGCGGTGTCTGTGTGACTGCAGACGAGCCAAGTGGCATCCCTACCCCTGGCAGCACGGTTGAATGCAGAGGAAAGGGCAGGTGAAGGGGCAGGTGAAGGGGCAAGTTAAGGGGCAGGGCAGCACCTGAGCCTTTCAGGTGCGGTGCAGTTGACCTGAAAGTCTGGGCTGCAGGCATGGCTGGGTGACTACTATGAGAGTTCTGAAAAGCACCCTGCCCTACTGCCGGGCTGTAAGCAGGGGCAGCAGATGCTGCATTTACTTGAGGCGCCTTAAATGCAGTTGACCTGAAAGGCGGGGCTGCAGGCATGGCAGGGAGACCATGAGAGTTCTGAAAAGCACCTTGCCCTGCTGCCGGTATGGAATGAGAGGCGGCAGACACTGAACTTACTTGGGGCCGCAGAGCAGAGAGGCGGGCATGGGGTGAAGCGGAGACAGAGAGACCTTGAGGTTGGGACAGGCCCAGCTGCTGCTGCTGCTGCTGCTGCTGCTGCTGCTGTTGGGTGGGAGTAGAGGCGGTGCTAGAGATGGCGCTGCGAGTGGTACTCGGACTGGTGATGGGGGATATTGCAGCAGGAGGAGCAGGTGAGGCAGAGACGGCGGGGTTTGTTGAGGGGCTGAGCAGTGACGGTGGCTGGGAGGCTCGGCTGCTGCGGCTGTTGCTGTTGGGTGGGAGCAGTGGTGGTTCTGTGAGTGGTGTTGGGAGCGGTGGAAGCAGGTACAGGTGCTTGGAGAAGGAGTGAGCGGAGGTGCGGAGTCTGAGATGAGAGAGGCTGGTGTATGGAGGCGGGAGGGGGATGAGAGGCACAGTTAGTGGTGGTGGGAGAGAAAGAGGATGAGAGGGAAAGAGGAGGCGCAGACGCGAGGAGGGAGGAGGGCTGAGAGGGACGAGGGAAGAAGGCGAGGGAGGATTGGTGATGCGGGAGAGGGGGCGGAACTGGAAGGTGCAGTGATGTGGTGGGAGCGGTGCAGGGCTTGACTGGGGTAGGGCTGACTGGGTTGACTTGGGTTGGGTTGACTGGTTCAGGACTGACTGGTGCAGGGCTGACTGGTGCAGGGTTGACTGGTGCAGGGTTGACTGGTGCAGGGTTGACTGGTGCAGGGTTGACTGGTGCAGGGTTGACTGGTGCAGGGTTGACTGGCGCAGGGTTGACTGGTGCAGGGTTGAATGGCGCAGGGTTGAATGGCGCAGGGTTGACTGGTGCAGGGTTGACTGGTGCAGGGTTGACTGGTGCAGGGTTGACTGGTGCAGGGTTGACTGGTGCAGGGTTGACTGGTGCAGGGTTGACTGGTGCAGGGTTGACTGGTGCAGGGTTGACTGGTGCAGGGTTGAATGGCGCAAGCACATGGAGTGGAGGAGTGGTTGTGCGAGGCTGAGATGTGGGGAGTGCTGAGTTGAACCTGGAGGGCTGCTGATGGGATTGCAATGGGGAGAGTGCTGCTGCTGCTTGCTGCTGATACGCATTGGCTGGGCTGGTAGCAGAAAGAGCGGGTTTGACTGGTGCAGAAGCATTGAGTGAAGCTGGGTTGAATGAGGACGGCTGCGGATGAGGAGACTGCAATGGGGTGAGCGCTGCTGCCGCTCCCTGCTGATGGGTATTGGCTGGAGTGGTAGCAGCAAGAGCAGGAGTGGTAGCAGCAAGAGCAGGAGTGGTAGCAGCAAGAGCAGGAGTGGTAGCAGCAAGAGCAGGAGTGGTAGCAGCAAGAGCAGGGGTGGTAGCAGCAAGAGCAGGAGTGGTAGCAGCAAGAGCAGGAGTGGTAGCAGCAAGAGCAGGGGTGGTAGCAGCAAGAGCAGGAGTGGTAGCAGCAAGAGCAGGAGTGGTAGCAGCAAGAGTAGGGGTGGTAGCAGCAAGAGCAGGGGTGGTAGCAGCAAGAGCAGGGGTGGTGGCAGCAAGAGCAGGGGTGGTGGCAGCAAGAGCAGGAGCGGCAGAAGAAAGACCAGGGGTGGTAGCAGCAAGAGCAGGACCGGCAGTAGCAACAGTGGAGGTGGCAGAAGCAATGGCAGGAGTAGCAGCAGCAAAAGCAGGAGTGGGGGCAGCAAGAGCTGGAGTGGCAGCAGCAACAGCCGGCCTCACAGCAGGTGCAGCAGCCAAACCAGGGGTAGCAGCAGGAGGAGCAGCAGTAGTAGCAATAGCAGCAGGAGAAGCAGCAAGAGGGGCAGCAGTAGCAGCTGGGGAAGCAGCAGGAGGAGCAGCAATACTGGCAGGAGGAGGAGCAGTGGCAGCAGAAGGAGTAGCAGGAGGAGCAGCAGTAGTGGCAGCAATAGCAGCAGGAGGAGCAGCAGTAGCAGCAGCAGCAGGAAGAGGAGCAGCAGTAGCAGCAGGAGGACCAACAGTAGTGGCAAGCGGGGCACGGACAGGGACGGGCAAAGCAGCAGCAGCAGCAGCAGCAGCAGGTGCAGGTGCGGGTGCAGGGGCATCTATAGCAGCCAGAGCCAGCATCTTCTTTTGCAGCCTCACACTCACTCGGGTCCCTGCCACCCCTGCTACCCCTCCTCCCCCTGCTCCCCCTGCCCCCCCTGCCCCCCCTTCTCCTCCTGCCCCCCCTGCTGCTCCTGCTGCACCTGCTCCCCCTGCTTCCCCCGAGCGTGGGTGAGGCAGTTGCTGCATACTGCTTACTGGCGGGGCAGCAGCAGAGGGCGGGGATGTGTCATTAGCAGCAAGTTGGTTTGGCGTTGCAGCAGCAGCAGCAGCCACAGCGGTAGGAGTGGTGGCAGCAGCAGGAAGGGGGATAGGCGTGGTGGCAGTGGCAGCAAGCAGGTTGCTGAGTCTAGTGGTGGGGCGAGTGGCGAGGCGAGAGCGAGTGTGGGAGGGGGGACGGGGTATTGGAGGGGTGGGTGCAGCAGCGGCAGCAGAGGCAGCAGCAGCAGCAGCAGGGGCAAGAGAAGCAGTAGCAAGGGAACTCAGCTCACGCATGGGTTCAGGGGCAGATGTAATGGCAGCAACGGGAGAAGCGGCAGCAGCAGCAACAGCTGGTGCCTTGCCTGTCAACAACACCAACCTCTCTTGCAGTGCGTGTGGGGAGGACAGAGGGGTGGAGGGAGGAAGAGAGAGCAGCGATGGAGCACCAACAGGAGCGGAGGAAGGAGGAGGAGGAGGAGGAGTCGGAAGGGGGGAAAATTGGGAGGCGTGGACGCGTGCAGGAAAGGAAGCTGGAAGGGCAGTACCCGAGGAGAAGAAGGCTTGAGCCAGAGACAAGGTCTCTGTTATAGCTGGTAGGGGGGTGGGTTGGGGTAGGAGGGTGAGAACGAAGGGGTTAGGCTTTGAGACGTCTCGAAGCGGGGTAGGCGAGGAGAAGAAGGCTTGTGCGAGAGACAAGGCCTCTGCGATCGCTGAAAGGGGTAGCGTGGGGTAGGAGGGTGAGATGAGAACGGAGGGGATTGTGTTGTGAGTACGCACGTGGTGGAGAGAGCAAGAAAATGGGAGACACTTGTAGAGCAACAAGCACACATAGAGATCTTGTTTCAGAACGTATGGAATGCTTCCCAACATGGTTCAGAGGGAGAGGGAGAACGAAATGCGCGAAATGCGCAGGGAGAGGAGGTCTTACCCAGGGGAAGCGGGCGTGTCGAGCTGCAGAGTGCGTGCTGAGGAGAGGGAGGCGCAGGGAGAGGAGGTCTTACCCAGGGGAAGCGCCTTCTGGCAAAGAATCGCTTCAGCAGCCAGCAGGCGAACGGGCGTGTATGGCTGCAGCGCATGCTGCGAGCGCAGCCCCTCCATTGGAGGAGCCGTGGACTGACAGAGCAAAGAGCGGGGCAGGGAAGGGAGGCCTTACCCTGGGGAAGGGTCTTCTGGAGGAGAATTGCCTCAGCAGCCAGCAGACGCACGGGCGTGTATGGCTGCAGCGCATGCTGAGAGCACAGCTCCTCCATTGGAGCGGCAGCAAGGCCGTCAGCAGGCAACCAGTCGGCCTCGGGAGGAAACAAGTCCACCTCCCCCCTACCTTCCCCTGCGTGTGCTGCTACTTCATCTGCTGCAGCCGTCCCCCCATCCGTCCCCACTGCACCTGCTGCTGCCTCTGGAGGAAACAAGTCAACCTCCTCCCTGCCTTCCGTTGTGCGTGCTGCTACTTCATTTGCTGCCGCTGTCCCCCCAGCCGTCCCCCCAGCCGTCCCCCCAGCCGTACCCACTGCACCTGCTGCTGCCTCGGGAGGAAACAGATCCACCTCGTCCTTCCTGCCCTCTCCTGTGTGTGCTGCTGCAAGCATGCAACCTTTGGCGTCCATCCCCTCGCTACCGAACCCCTGTGACTCTTTTCCCTTCCCATGCCGTTCCTCCACTGTTTCACGCGTCTCCTCACGCGTCTCCTCACGCGTCTCCTCACGCGTCTCCTCACGCGTCTCCTCACGCGTCTCCTCACGCGTCTCCTCACGCGTCTCCTCACGCGTCTCCTCACGCGTCTCCTCACGCGTCTCCTCACGCGTCTCCTCACGCGTCTCCTCACGCGTCTCCTCACGCGTCTCCTCACGCGTCTCCTCACGCGTCTCCTCACGCGTCTCCTCACGCGTCTCCTCACGCGTCTCCTCACGCGTCTCCTCACGCGTCTCCTCACGCGTCTCCTCACGCGTCTCCTCACGCGTCTCCTCACGCGTCTCCTCACGCGTCTCCTCACGCGTCTCCTCACGCGTCTCCTCACGCGTCTCCTCACGCGTCTCCTCACGCGTCTCCTCACGCGTCTCCTCACGCGTCTCCTCACGCGTCTCCTCACGCGTCTCCTCACGCGTCTCCTCACGCGTCTCCTCACGCGTCTCCTCACGCGTCTCCTCACGCGTCTCCTCACGCGTCTCCTCACGCGTCTCCTCACGCGTCTCCTCACGCGTCTCCTCACGCGTCTCCTCACGCGTCTCCTCACGCGTCTCCTCACGCGTCTCCTCACGCGTCTCCTCACGCGTCTCCTCACGCGTCTCCTCACGCGTCTCCTCACGCGTCTCCTCACGCGTCTCCTCACGCGTCTCCTCACGCGTCTCCTCACGCGTCTCCTCACGCGTCTCCTCACGCGTCTCCTCACGCGTCTCCTCACGCGTCTCCTCACGCGTCTCCTCACGCGTCTCCTCACGCGTCTCCTCACGCGTCTCCTCACGCGTCTCCTCACGCGTCTCCTCACGCGTCTCCTCACGCGTCTCCTCACGCGTCTCCTCACGCGTCTCCTCACGCGTCTCCTCACGCGTCTCCTCACGCGTCTCCTCACGCGTCTCCTCACGCGTCTCCTCACGCGTCTCCTCACGCGTCTCCTCACGCGTCTCCTCACGCGTCTCCTCACGCGTCTCCTCACGCGTCTCCTCACGCGTCTCCTCACGCGTCTCCTCACGCGTCTCCTCACGCGTCTCCTCACGCGTCTCCTCACGCGTCTCCTCACGCGTCTCCTCACGCGTCTCCTCACGCGTCTCCTCACGCGTCTCCTCACGCGTCTCCTCACGCGTCTCCTCACGCGTCTCCTCACGCGTCTCCTCACGCGTCTCCTCACGCGTCTCCTCACGCGTCTCCTCACGCGTCTCCTCACGCGTCTCCTCACGCGTCTCCTCACGCGTCTCCTCACGCGTCTCCTCACGCGTCTCCTCACGCGTCTCCTCACGCGTCTCCTCACGCGTCTCCTCACGCGTCTCCTCACGCGTCTCCTCACGCGTCTCCTCACGCGTCTCCTCACGCGTCTCCTCACGCGTCTCCTCACGCGTCTCCTCACGCGTCTCCTCACGCGTCTCCTCACGCGTCTCCTCACGCGTCTCCTCACGCGTCTCCTCACGCGTCTCCTCACGCGTCTCCTCAAACGCGTCTCCTCACGCGTCTCTCCTCACGCGTCTCCTCACGCGTCTCCTCACGCGTCTCCTCACGCGTCTCCTCACGCGTCTCCTCACGCGTCTCCTCACGCGTCTCCTCACGGCGTCTCCTCACGCGTCTCCTCACTCGTCTCCTCACCGTCTCCTCACGCGTCTCCTCACGCGTCTCCTCACGCGTCTCCTCACGCGTCGCCTCACGCGTCTCCTCACGCGTCTCCTCACGCGTCTCCTCACGCGTCTCCTCACGCGTCTCCTCACGCGTCTCCTCACGCGTCTCCTCACGCGTCTCCTCACGCGTCTCCTCACGCGTCTCCTCACGCGTCTCCTCACGCGTCTCCTCACGCGTCTCCTCACGCGTCTCCTCACGCGTCTCCTCACGCGTCTCCTCACGCGTCTCCTCACGCGTCTCCTCACGCGTCTCCTCACGCGTCTCCTCACGCGTCTCCTCACGCGTCTCCTCACGCGTCTCCTCACGCGTCTCCTCACGCGTCTCCTCACGCGTCTCCTCACGCGTCTCCTCACGCGTCTCCTCACGCGTCTCCTCACGCGTCTCCTCACGCGTCTCCTCACGCGTCTCCTCACGCGTCTCCTCACGCGTCTCCTCACGCGTCTCCTCACGCGTCTCCTCACGCGTCTCCTCACGCGTCTCCTCACGCGTCTCCTCACAGCGTACTCCTCACGCGTCTCCTCACGCGTCTCCTCACGCGTCTCCTCACGCGTCTCCTCACGCGTCTCCTCACGCGTCTCCTCACGCGTCTCCTCACGCGTCTCCTCACGCGTCTCCTCACGCGTCTCCTCACGCGTCTCCTCACGCGTCTCCCTCACGCGTCTCCTCACGCGTCTCCTCACGCGTCTCCTCCACGCGTCTCCTCACGCGTCTCCTCACGCGTCTCCTCACGCGTCTCCTCACGCGTCTCCTCACGCGTCTCCTCACGCGTCTCCTCACGCGTCTCCTCACGCGTCTCCTCACGCGTCTCCTCACGCGTCTCCTCACGCGTCTCCTCACGCGTCTCCTCACGCGTCTCCTCACGCGTCTCCTCACGCGTCTCCTCACGCGTCTCCTCACGCGTCTCCTCACGCGTCTCCTCACGCGTCTCCTCACGCGTCTCCTCACGCGTCTCCTCACGCGTCTCCTCACGCGTCTCCTCACGCGTCTCCTCACGCGTCTCCTCACGCGTCTCCTCACGCGTCTCCTCACGCGTCTCCTCACGCGTCTCCTCACGCGTCTCCTCACGCGTCTCCTCACGCGTCTCCTCACGCGTCTCCTCACGCGTCTCCTCACGCGTCTCCTCACGCGTCTCCTCACGCGTCTCCTCACGCGTCTCCTCACGCGTCTCCTCACGCGTCTCCTCACGCGTCTCCTCACGCGTCTCCTCACGCGTCTCCTCACGCGTCTCCTCACGCGTCTCCTCACGCGTCTCCTCACGCGTCTCCTCACGCGTCTCCTCACGCGTCTCCTCACGCGTCTCCTCACGCGTCTCCTCACGCGTCTCCTCACGCGTCTCCTCACGCGTCTCCCTGTCACCACCCGTAGCTGCGCCTTCCAAGCGTGCATGCATGTCCACGCCTTCCATGCTTGTATGCATGCCATCGCCCCCACATGGAGCATGCATGGCAGCAGCACCCTCTTTCCCCCCAGTAACATCCGCTACATTCACAGCCACATTTGCCTCATCTGCCATGCGCCCATCTTCCCTCCCCATGCTTGTCCGCGAGCCCTCTTCTGCTCTCTCTTCGCCTTCTGCCCTTTCCGTCCCTTGTGCATCTTCTGTGCCTCCTGTGCAGTCTATGCCCACTCCTGCCACTGCAGCAGCTTCTGCCGCTGCAGCTGCTGCTGCTGGGACTGCCAGTTCAGATTCTGAAGCTACAGCTACTGCCACACCTCTTGCTGCTGCCGGTGCCTCCTTCGCCTTCCCACCCCCGCCTCTGCTGCACCCCTCAGTCCTCTCGTCCCCCTTCCTCCTCTCCTCCTCTGCCTGCCCCACCTCTGCCTGCCCCACCTCTGCCTGCCCCACCTCTGCCTGCCCCGCCTCATCTTTTATCTTCCTCTTCTCCTCCGTCCCCCCTCCTTCCCATGCCATGTGCGTCCTGTCACCATCCACACCCATGCCCAGTGCCATACTACCATCCTTTCCCTCCATACCAATGTCATCCTTTCCCTCCATACCATTCATGCCCTTACCTCCTTCCATTCCCACCCCTCCTCGCCCACCCTCCAGCCCACTCACACCCTCCACCACCCTTTCCTCCCTTCCCTCCCCTTTGACAGACCTTGCACCCTCAACACCCTCCGCTACCATCTTGTCCCCCATACAAGCTTCTCCAACTACACCTACCATATTTTCTGCCGCAGCTGCATCCTGCTCTCCCGTCCTCCCTTCCTCCTGCCCTCCTCTCCCTGTATCCTCAAAAGCCATGCTTCGGTGCTGCCCCTTTTGCTGCTCTGTCCCACGTGAGTGACCCACACCAGCTGCAGCATTATCACCGGCAGCAGTAACACCAGTGTCAACAGCAGTATCAGCTGCCAAACCAGCACTCTCCTTGCTCCCTATCTCTGCAACTCCTGCCTCTTCCTTCATCATTCCCTCCTCCTTGAGCCCTTCCAATCTGATAGCACCAGCAGCAGCAGCATGACTAGCAGTCTCAACAGCAGTATCAGCTGCCAAGCCAGCACCCTCCTCGCTCCCTATCTCTGCAACTCCTGCCTCGTCCCTCATCACTCTCTCCTCCTTGAGCCCTCCAGGTGCAATCACAGCTCCTGCTGTTGTTGCTGCTGCTGATTTGGCTGTCGCTCGTGGTGTTGATGTTGGTGCCGCGGACAAGGGCGGTGGCTCCAGTTGCCTTTCAGCGGTCAGAACCCCTGCCGCTGCTGCCATCATCGTTTCATCTGCTGCTGCTTCCCCAACCACCAACACAGCCCCTCCTCCTCCACATCTGCCCTCCTCACCCTCCCCTCCGTTTCGCTCATCCACTCTTTCTTCCCCCTCTCCTCCTAGTCCTCCCACATCCATCTCTCGCACCCCGACTTCCTCCATCAGAACACTCTTCCCGCTCATTCCCTCCCCTTCCACAACCTCCGCCTCTGCTACCTCGTGAGACGATTTCTTAGGCGCCTCAATAACAACTTTTGCCTCCACTGCCCCTCGAGTCAACTCAACCCTCCCCTCCTGCTCCCCCTCCGCACTTGTCAGCCCCTCCCCCTCCTCCCCACTCTTCACCTCCCCCTCCACCTCTGTGCCTTGCACCCGCTCATCCACCTCTGTGCCTTGCACCCGCTCATCCACCTCTGTGCCTTGCACCCGCTCATCCACCTCCTCTCCAACAGAAGCATCCCCACCATCAACCCACTCCCCCTGCGGTGCTCCCCCCTGCTCTGCTACCCCCTGTCCTTCTTCCCCCTGCCCTTCTCCCCCTTCTTCCCCTTCACCCCCCTGCGCTGCTCCCTCCTGCCCCGCTCCCCCCTGCACAACCTGCCCTCCCCCCTGGTTGTTCACCCGATAGCTCTTGGCACGGTACCATCGAGCCCGCTGCCCCTTCTTGCGCCGCGACTTGCTCCCCCTGCCTGACTTGCCCGACTTGCTTGCCTTGTGGGACCTTGCATGCGGGCCGCTTCCTCCCCCAGGCCCTCCTTCCCCTGCTTTCCGCTTGTGGGAGTGTTGCGGCAAAGGCCCTGATGCTGCAGCCGCAGCACTGGCAGCGGCATCGGACGCATTGACAGCAGAAGCGGTGGCTCGTTTGGATTGGAGAAGGGAGAGGGCGAGGGGGGTGCAGGGCCACGCCATGACAGTGACGTGGGAGGGGAGGGAGGAAGAGAGAGCGTAGGTGAGGCGGATGGAGAGATGGCTGCAGGGGTGGGGTGGGGTGGGGTGGGGATAGGGGAGCAGTGGGAACAAAAGGGGCAGGGGAAGGAATGCTTTAGGACAGAGGAGTGGAAAAGTCTGAAAAGCGAAAGCAGCAGTGGGATGAGCATGGAACAGGAAAGCTTCAGCAGACGCACTGAGAGCCTCACTATGAGTCTGGTTACCAGGTTACAAGCACACAGATGCCACCTCCTTACCAGGAAGCAGCAGTGAGGTAGAGGAGGGCGCGTGTGTGTGCAGGGTTGTGGTACAGCTGAAGCACATGCGCGCTGTGGGCCTCACAGGCCTGCTCTAACTGGTGGGTGCAAGGATGAACGGGAGGAAATGGATGGAGGATGAGAATGCAAGTCACTGAAGAAAGAGGGGCCTCCCAGGCCCGCTCTAGCTGGTGCGAGGAGAGAAGGAAGGGACGGAGAGAGATTGAGGCAGGGAGGAGAATGAATGTGCGAGTTGTCTGCTTCCTACACCTTAACTTTGAGAAATCTCACAAGTATCCCTTAGAAGTGATTTCCCTCTCCACCTCCTCACCCCACCTCTTCACCCCACCTCTTCACCCCACCTCTTCACCCCACCTCCTCACCCCACCTCTTCACCCCACCTCTTCACCCCACCTCCTCACCCCACCTCTTCACCCCACCTCTTCACCCCACCTCCTCACCCCACCTCTTCACCCCACCTCCTCAACCCCACCCCTCGCCCCCCCAACTCACCTGCCCCCTTCGTGAGACGAAGGCATCAAGGAGATGAGCCAAATGTGATGCAAAGAGCTGTGGGGAGGGAAAGAATGGAGGTGGGTAGAAACGGGAGGACTGTAAGTTGCATTGCGACCAAGGCATTGAGGGGATGAGGCAGATGGGACGCAAAGAGCTGCGGGGGGAGAGGAGGAGAGAAGTGGGATGTCGGGAGAGGACAGGAGTGAAGTGGGTTGTACTGAGAGTAAAGTAAAGCATTCAGGAAACATGCTATAGGGAATGCAAAGAGCTGGTGGGAGAGCTTCAAAAGAGGAATTTGGAAAAGGAAGCACAACTGCAGGGAGGAGAAAGTGGCGGGATGAGAGGAGAAAATTCTTGCGTTCAGCTGATATTGAGGCAAGCATCAGGAGAGTGCGAATAACAACAAGAAGCAACACACACACAGCAGCAGCAGCAGCAAGCCAATCACAGGTTTGAGAGTCATGTAATATTTCCAACTGTTGTCCAACCAATAGCATCAGCCAGACCTCACCTCAGGCTGACGTGGCAGGAAGTCTTGCTCTAACTGGCTGATGGGAAGGAAGGGAGGCACGCTGGAGTCCACCAATCTCAGCCCGCCACGTGGTGCTTCAAGAACTCCCTCATGCGACTTGCCGTTGTCCTCTTTCTGATTGCCCTCGGCGTTGTCTGAGTGAGTGTGCTGTACAAAGGTGTGGTCTGCTGGGGTGTGCTGCGGTGGGGAGGTGTGGTCGTGGGTGTGGTGCAGGGAGCAGAAGAAGCTCTCTCTGGGTGTCCCTGTCACACAGGCGGGCAGAAAGGGGGACGGACAAGGAGGATGGACAGGGCAGAAAGGGGAAAGAACAGGGAGCACACTGCAATCTGGTACTGAGGCACAAGGCGTGAGGGGAGGGGAGGGGCAGGGAGGAACAATGCATGAGGCAATGAGGCATGGGCCATGGGGCTTGAGGGGCATGAGGATACTCACCCTGGAAAGAGGTGTCAACGCGCAGCAGCATGCGCTTTCCTTCCACCAGCACCACCGCCTGCCCTCGCCCCGTGAACCCCCCTGCCTGCCCTGTGAACCCACTACGGTGACACGGCCTGACCCTGCAATGAGATACTCACCCTGGAAAGAGGTGTCAATGCGTAGCAGTATGTGGCTGCCTTCCACCAGCACCACCGCCTGCCCTTGCCCCGTGAACCCCACCGTGCTCTGTGTGTCACCAGAATAGAGCACTCACCCTGGAAAGAGGTATCAATGCGCAGCAGCACGCGCCTCCCTTCCACCAGCACCACCGCCTGCCCTTGCCCCGTGAACCCCACCGCCCTCTGCCTGCCCTCCTCCTCCTTCCCTTCTCCCCCTCCTTGACTCTCTCCTCCTCCTGCTGCTCCTCCTGCTCCTGCTCCTCCTTCTCCTGCTCCTCCTTCACCTGTTCCTGCTCCTCCTCCTCCTTCCTGTGCTCCTTCCCCCTCTTCGACTTTCACCTGAACAGCAGCCACTGCAGTGTGTACTTTCACCTGACTTTCACCTGAACAGAAAACAGGTATGGCTCCCCCCTCGCCCTCCCTCCCACCACTTCTCCTTTGCCACACCTCCCTTTCCATCCCGTCGCCTCTCCTCTCCTCCCGCCCTACCTCCCTCTCTTGGTTCTCCAGCTCCCTTTTCCTTTTGGTCGCATCAGCAACAGCAGCATCCACATCAGCGCCAGCAGTGTCCACATCAGCAACACCAGTGTCCACATCAGCAACACCAGTGTCCACATCAGCAACAGCAGCGACCATATCAGCAGCAGCAGTGACTTCCAGTTCAGTCTTAGGTATTGAACCATTGATACTTCCAGATTCATCCATGGCAACACCAGCAGCACCAGCATCAACAGACACACCGGCAGTACCAGTACCAGCATCAGCAGAAACATCAGCACCCGGGGCTTCAACAGCAGCAGCAGCACCAACCGTTGATGTTGATTCTGCTTTCATCACCCCCTCTCGCGCCCCATCGACTAATGCTCTCACTCCTCCCATCTCCTCCCCTGCCCCAATATTTTCCCCTCCGCCAACCGCTTTCCCTTCGCCTTCTCCCCCAGTCTGCCCCTCGTCCCTTGCCTTCTTCTCCACGCACAGTGCGCCAAACCCCCCACCACTTCCCTTATCATCTACGGCAACATCCTGTACGGCAACATCCTGTACGGCAACATCCTGTACGGCAACATCAGAAACATCTCCAGCTGCCAGTGCCAGTGCATCTACTGCCCCTCTCCCAGCCTCTGCTGCTTCTCCTGCCAATCCTGCCCCGCTCTCTTCTCCCCCACTCACAGCCACATCCCTCTCCTTCCCCTCAACACACAGTGCACCAACCCCCTCACCGGTCCCCTTATGATCATCTCCCTTTTCAACACCCGTGTCAGCTCCCTTTTGAGGTGCATCCAAAACCCCTTCACCCATCCCCTTGACATCCCCTGCAGTAGCATTCTCAGCTGCACCTGCACCTGCATTCTCAGCATTCCCCCCAGTTGTGCTCCCAACACCATTCTCCACAATTCCTCTGTCAGCACCCGCACCTGCACCACCGCTCCCTGCAGCTCCCCCAAGTGCTCCCCCAGGTGCTCCCCCAGGTGCTCCCCCAGGTGCTCCCCCAGGTGCTCCTTCAGGTGCTCCCCCAGGTGCTCCCTCAGGTGCTCCTTCAGGTGCTCCCCCAGGTGCAGCAGCATTGTCAACATCACCACTCGCGGCAGTGTGGGCGGAGGGAGGTGGGGGGGAAGAGGAGGGGAGGCGGGAGAGGAGGGCTGTCCACTGGTGGTTCAAACACATAGCAGGTGCTGTTGCTGATGCTGATGGTGCTGATGGTGTCGCTGATGCAGCTGTTGTTTCTGATGCTTCTGCTGCTCTTGCTTCTGATGCTTCTCTTGCAGCTTCTGCTGCTGCAGGTGGTGCCACTGGTGATGATCCCGCAATCTGACAAAAGTCAGTGTGCTGGGAGTGCTGGTGGAATTCCGATTGCAGATGAGCCACACGAGCCATGAATGCACGCCTGCATGCGAGCCATGGGGTGTGGTGAGAGGAGCACATTCACACACAAACGAGAAACAAGAAAGGGGAAAGGGAAGGGGTGGGGGGAGGGGGTGCTGTGAGGAGGTTCTTTAGAGGAAGGAGAAAGGGGGGGAGGGAGAAAGCGTTAGAGAAGGGAATGACTCACCCCAGCAGCCTCTGGCGCAGCCTCATGTGCCTCTCTTGCAGCGCTGCCACTGCCATGTGATGCACACATGCCATGATATAACGCACAGATGCCACGTGGATTATGCCACGATATAACGCACAGATGCCACGTGGATTATGCCACGATATAACGCACAGATGCCACGCGGATTATGCCATGCCAAGCATACGACACACGGGAGAGAGCGCAGGGTGGGGGAGTGTAATGGTTTGGCCAAGGTACACGAAGAGTAGACAGACTGAGAGGACAGCTTGTTGACGCGTACAGCCCTTCACCGTTGCCTTTTGAGACGTCTCATAAGTAACCGTTTGGCCAAGGTACAAGAAGTGTAGAAGGACTGAGAGGGCAGCTCGTTTGACGTGCACAGCCCTTCACCATTGCTGCAGTGCAAGTTGAAGGAGAGTGAGAGGGTGCAGGTTTAACGAGTGTCAAGCTGACTCAAACGCAAGAGCCAGTAGAATGGAATGGAAGCAATGCAGCCACGGCTTCTACTGCCTCAGGCAGTACACGCAGTGCCATGCGTCAGTCCCCCCCGTTCACTCACTCCGCATCTCCAGATCTTCTAAAGCGCCCGCCCCCACATCTTCCCCATCCACCTCCACCACCTCCTCCTCCCCATCCCCCTCTTCCCCCTCCCCTGCCCCCTGCATCCGCGCTTCCCACGCCTCTGCTGCTCCGCGCTTTTTCCTCCCCGCTATCCCGCTAACGACCAGGTGAAGCGGTCCCGCACAAGCTGGCTCTAGAGGCGCCTCAACCATCCTTAGGTGCTCCCCCCTCCTGTCGTCTGCTTGCAGAGGCCCCTCACGCGCCTCCAGGGCCGCTGCATGAGAGTTTGTAATATTGTGCGCGGCGTTAGTTGCCACCTCGTTATTAGCCAGCTGGCTATTAGGAATTTCGCCCTCGGGCAGACCTCCTGTAACAGCAGCTGCCACGAACCTTCCTCGTGTTTTCTGGCGCCTTCCTGACCTAACGGCGGCGACCGCTAATCCGCCGCTAATTCCGCCGCCCGCTGCGGCGCCAGCGGCGCTGCTTACAGGATCTGCTGCTCCGATCACCGCGGTTCCCGCCGCCATTCCAACTGAAGGCGGATTTGGCGCTGCTTTTGCCGTCGTCATCCCGGACAATGGTGGCGTGGCGGCACCGCCAGTCGCGCCGCTCATCACGGCGACATGTGAGCTTCTGGCGGAGTGCGCGCGCGCGGCGGGCGCTAGGCGCGGCTTGGATCTAGCGGGAACGGCGCGCGGGCTGAGCGGCTCCTCGTCGTCGAACGCGACGCGCTTTAACTCGCGACCTCGGCTGCTACGCCTCGTAGCCTCCATCGTACTCGTTATGATCCGCTTCGATATAAGTGTCGCAATCGTTACATCGCTTACGTATAGCGGCTTGCCGTGGATTCAAGCCTCCTACCCTGTCGCAGCAACAGCAGAACGACTTGACGCGTACGCGCTCCGACGTAATGGCGTGTCACATGTTCGGATGGTCATGGTCTATCACAGTCACGGACCTCGGCTGCTGTGCCTCATAGCCTCCATTGTACTCGTTAGTAGCAGGTTGAGAATCTGGAATGGAAGAAGAGAGCACTTTTTGAAGACTTTCTAGTACTGTGACACTACAAAAAACCCGGCTCACACTCCACTGCTCATTTGCGGAGCGTTTACCGTGGTTGAGTAGGTTTCCTCGCGTTCGGGAACGGTTCCGGGGCCTAACCGCTATGTTTGGGTTGATCAGGGACATAACCATTGCGCACCGAAGTAAAACCAGCATGAATGTAAAAGAAAACTCTGTTCTCGACCTCACTCCTCAGACAACAATCCCAAACGTGCTTCTAAGTCTGCATCGCCGCGCCGCCATAGATACAGCTTCCAAGCAGCAAGGAACTTCTTATTAGGGATTCGAGCTTGGTGGTTCTTATCAGTCCCCGACGAAAACTTAGTAGACGCTGTTCTGCTCTGTTCGATTCGCGTTGGTCGACGCACGGTCAATGCGGCATGGAGATGGAATGCGCGAGTTCGTATAGAGCCGTATCAACCGTGGTGCGTGCTTCGATACACGTTTTCTCTCACCTTCCCTTACGGTAACAGTAGATTCTGGTTCAGATCCCATCGGCAGCTAGCTTGATTGTGAGGCGCTTCGGAGATGGTTTCGATTGCTCCAGCTGTTCCTCCTTGCGTTGCCGTGTCACGCGGACACGGTTAGCATTTCCGGAAAGCGACTGCACGCGGAAGTCACGCGAAGGCCTTATCAATCTGGTGTCTGCAGACGATTGCATGACTATCGCAATGCAAGTCCTGAAGCTGTTGCTTGTCGTTCCTGGATGTTGCTGCTGTTCGAAAGAATTGCGCGCAGTTATTTTACGCTACTAGCGAATGAGTATGCTGGATTGGATTCTCAAACGCCTCGTTGATGGTATTTTCGCGGATTCTCAAACGCCTCGTTGATGGTATGAAGATACTGTCACGGTTGTTTTTCTGGTCAGCGGATTTGCAGAGCTTTTTCACCTTCCTTGTGCCAGGCGTCCCTCTATTCCTTGCGTTCAGCATCCCAACTGATGTTCCCTTGGGGGATTGTCGCAGACTCATCTTCCCCCTCACCTTCGCCTAGTCCGAATAACTCCCCTTCGCTAATTCGTTCAAAGCTAGTGGCATCGCAACGTATGCTCTTTATCGAATTGCCTGTTTCCCTTTCTTCGTCCTCAGGCGACCCATCATGCGACGTTGTGGCATTGACGGGGGAGTCTTGCTTGAAGCTTCGTGGGAGTGGCATGGGAGTCATGGGACCATCATGGGACGTGGTGGCATACGGCGGGGGAGTCGTGCTTGGAGCTGACACTCGGGTTACCACAGGTATTTTTTCTATCCTTGCAGGAAGCATCATCACTTCGCAATTATCTGGCTACGTGCATCAGCAACAGAGCGTAGGAGAAAATGACTGCCCTCACGGACTTCAGGATCTGTAATAGACTCAAATTCCTGCATCCTTCTTTGGGGAAAAGAGAATAATATTGCATTATGCTCTGCGCTTGTTCTGCATGTGAACTGGCCATTTGTGCATGACTTATGCATCGCTGAGCAATGTGACTTTGCTCACACGTGTCTGCTCTGCCCACATCATGTCACATGGATCACAGTACAACATCACATTATCACCGTCTCACATTATACGCCATCCATCCCACCCTAATGACATGCGGTCAGGACTCAGGATGGATGGATGGCTCATCCGGGTCAGCCATCTACAGATGTCAAGGCGATGGTCAATGTGATGTCATCAAGCAAATCAGTCACAACATCAAGCTGATTCAACTGATCCCCAAAACCTATCAGCCACTTGATGTTGATATAACCACTATTCTCCCAGACATTTCACCGCCTCCCCTCCCTTTCCAACCCACGTTTCCCCTTCCTTTTTTTGAGCCTATCCTTCTTTCATGGTTTACGTTCTCTCGATGCCCTCCCAGTTCCATTGCCTTGCCTTGTCGTGCTATGCTGTCAGCAACGATGACCGTGAGTGAGGTGGCATTGGCATGCTTGTTTCCTATTCTTACTGCGTCGTCCCTTTCTCTACCCTCATCCGTTCTCTAACCTCATCATTTCTCTACCCTCTTTCCCCCTGCGCGCTCATCCCCCCTGCGCGCTCATCCCCCCACTCCTCCCCCTTTCTTCCCCAGAGGGCGAACGAGGCGATGCAGGGCGAGCGGGGCGTTTGGTTCGAATGCGCGCAGGGAGGGGGAGAGGGCCAGCAAGCAAGTTCTGAGACGTCTCAAAGGCGATGCAGGGGAGAGGGCGAGCAAGCAGCACGACATAGCAGCCAGGTGTGATGCGATGCGGTGTGGAGCGGTTTGGTGCGGTGGGGTGTGCGTTGGGATGTGGTGGGATGCGATAAAGAAGGGCTACATGTGAGAGGAGGCTGAGCTGAGAGAGGGGCAACGGAGAGGAGAGCATGGTTGGTGGTGTGCAGTGGGATGGGATGTGGTGGGATGAGAGGAGATGTGGTTGGATGAGAGGAGATGTGGTTGGTTGAGAGGAGATGGGGAACAAATCCTAAGGTGGGGGAGGGGAGTGTAGTTGGAGGTCCAAGGAGTGAGTTGTATCTCGTCCCCCTTTCCCCTCTCCTTCCGCCTTCCCTCCTTTCCCCCTTTGCCCGTCCCCCTTTGCCCTTCCTCCTTTGCTGTCCCCCTTTCTCTTTTCCCCCCTTTCCCCTTCCTCTTTTGTCCGTCCTCCTTTGCCCATCCCCCTTTGCCCGTCCCCCTTTGCCCGTCCCCCTTTGCCCATCCCCCTTTGCCCGTCCCTTTTTCCCTTCCTCTTTGCCCATCCCCTTTTGCCCATCCCCCTTTGCCCGTCCCCCTTTGCCCATCCCCCTTTGCCCGTCCCTTTTTGCCCTTCCCCTTTCACCCTTTCTCCTTTGCCCGTCCCCCTTTTGCTCCTCAAGCCCTCACCATCGGAGGGTCTGGCCCCTCGTGCCTCTTTGCCTTCTGTGATGTGGCCTTCAAGGAGTGGAGTGTTTTTTTGTTGATGTGGGCGCAGCACATGGGATGGAGGTGAGGCCACTCAGGGGTCTGGCTCCTCAGGGTCTGGCTCCTCAGGGTCTGGCTCCTCTTGGCTCCTACGTCTTTGCCTTGTGTGACTCGCACTCTAAGGAGGGCATAGGCTAAGGTGAGTGTTTGTTTCATGGTGGTGAGTGTTTGTTTCATGGTGGTGAGTGTTTGTTTCATGGTGGTGAGTGTTTGTTTCATGGTGGTGAGAGTTTGTTTCATGGTGGTGAGAGTTTGTTTCATGGTGGTGAGAGTTTGCTTCATGGTGGTGAGGGATGCAAGGCCTTGGTAGACCACCTTGCTGCCGTTTTGAGAAGCGCAATTCAAGGAGGGCATGAGCAAGGACCTGGTGTGTTGTGCTTAGAACAGAATTGATGGATATGCAAATGCAATGCAACGGTAGCCTAAGCTTGGGTGTTACGCACAACAAAGAGGAGGCCTGGTTAGTTTAGCTAAGAACAGATTTGATGGATATGTAGATGCAACGGTAGCCTAACCTTTACAATGCGGGTCTGCGCAGAGCAAGAGGAGGCTGAGGTGGAGCAGTGTGCTGTGCTGTGCTGTGCTGTGCTGTGCTGTGCTGTGCTGTGCTGTGCTGTGCTGTGCTGTGCTGTGCTGTGCTGTGCTGTGCTGTGCTGTGCTGTGCTGTGCTGTGCTGTGCTGTGCTGTGCTGTGCTGTGCTGTGCTGTGCTGTGCTGTGCTGTGCTGTGCTGTGCTGTGCTGTGCTGTGCTGTGCTGTGCTGTGCTGTGCTGTGCTGTGCTGTGCTGTGCTGTGCTGTGCTGTGCTGTGCTGTGCTGTGCTGTGCTGTGCTGTGCTGTGCTGTGCTGTGCTGTGCTGTGCTGTGCTGTGCTGTGCTGTGCTGTGCTGTGCTGTGCTGTGCTGTGCTGTGCTGTGCTGTGCTGTGCTGTGCTGTGCTGTGCTGTGCTGTGCTGTGCTGTGCTGTGCTGTGCTGTGCTGTGCTGTGCTGTGCTGTGCTGTGCTGTGCTGTGCTGTGGCGGAAAGAGCACATGTATTGGCGGACAGAGCACATGTATTGGCGGACAGAGCACATGTATTGGCGGACAGAGCACATGTATTGGCGGAAAGAGCACATGTATTGGCGGACAGAGCACATGTATTGGCGGACAGAGCACATGTATTGGCGGACAGAGCACATGTATTGGCGGACAGAGCACATGTATTGGCGGACAGAGCACATGTATTGGCGGACAGAGCACATGTATTGGCGGACAGAGCACATGTATTGGCGGACAGAGCACATGTATTGGCGGACAGAGCACATGTATTGGCGGACAGAGCACATGTATTGGCGGACAGAGCACATGTATTGGCGGACAGAGCACATGTATTGGCGGACAGAGCACATGTATTGGCGGACAGAGCACATGTATTGGCGGATGCTACCCCCTTTTGTGCCCTTTGATTGCGCTGCTGTCCTGTGCTCATTGCCCCTCGTGACAGATTTTCCTCTCTGCCTGTCTGCTTGCCCTGCCAGGCCTTTGTGATACAGTCAGTGTGGCTCGCCATGCCTCCAGACGGGGTGCCGTGCACACCAGGACGGGGACGGGACGGGCCGGGGCGGGATGGGAGGGGACGGGTTGGCCTGTGTGCCCTGCATACTGCGCTGGGCTACTTCCCTTCGCCTCCTTACCTGACCTCTTCTCCCCTGTCTTCCTGCCCACCTGCATCTTCTGTCCTGCCAGGCCTTTGAGGTGAAGGGGCGAGTGATTGCAAGGGGCAGTTTGGTTACCATATTATCCTGCCCTTGAGGTGAAGACAGTGTCGCTCGCCATGGCTCGAGGCGGGGCGAGAGGGGGATGTGTGCGTACCGCATTGGAGTTATGTGCCCTGCGTCCTGCGCTGGGCTACTTCCCTTCACAGCCTCACCTGACCTCTTCTCCCCTGTCTTCCCGCCCGCATGTCCTGTCCTGCCAGGCCTTTGTGCTGAAGGCGGGGTCATCGCCATGGCTTGAGACGGGTGATGCGACAAGGGTGAAGGCCTTTGTGTTCTCCCCTGTCTGCACGTCCTGTCCTGCCAGGCCTTTGTGCTGGAGGCGGGGTCACCCGAGACGGGGCGATTTGGGGATGTGTGCGCACCGTCACGGTGAGTCCCATGCTTCGTGACAAAGCCTGCACTCGCTCGTGACAAAGCCTGCACTCGCTCGTGTTGTCGTGTGGTGATGCCTCTGTTGTCGTCAGCCACCAGTGCTGGTTGTCAACCCCGCTCTATCTGCTTCCTCCCATTTCCCCCTCTCCTCCTCCACGCCCTTTCCCATCTCCACCCTCCTTTCCCATCTCCACCCTCCTTTCCCATCTCCACCCTCCTTTCCCTCATTCACGCATCACCGCATTCCCTCATTCACGCATCACCGCATTCCCTCATTCACGCATCACCGCATTCCCTCATTCACGCATCACCGCATTCCCTCATTCACGCATCACCGCATTCCCTCATTCACGCATCACCGCATTCCCTCATTCACGCATCACCGCATTCCCTCATTCACGCATCACCGCATTCCCTCATTCACGCATCACCGCATTCCCTCATTCACGCATCACCGCATTCCCTCATTCACGCATCACCGCATTCCCTCATTCACGCATCACCGCATTCCCTCATTCAGGCATCACCGCATTCCCTCATTCAGGCATCACCTCATTCCCTCATTCACGCATCACCGCATTCCCTCATTCACGCATCACCGCATTCCCTCATTCACGCATCACCGCATTCCCTCATTCACGCATCACCGCATTCCCTCATTCACGCATCACCGCATTCCCTCATTCACGCATCACCGCATTCCCTCATTCACGCATCACCGCATTCCCTCATTCACGCATCACCGCATTCCCTCATTCACGCATCACCGCATTCCCTCATTCACGCATCACCGCATTCCCTCATTCACGCATCACCGCATTCCCTCATTCACGCATCACCGCATTCCCTCATTCACGCATCACCGCATTCCCTCATTCACGCATCACCGCATTCCCTCATTCACGCATCACCGCATTCCCTCATTCACGCATCACCGCATTCCCTCATTCACGCATCACCGCATTCCCTCATTCACGCATCACCGCATTCCCTCATTCACGCATCACCGCATTCCCTCATTCACGCATCACCGCATTCCCTCATTCACGCATCACCGCATTCCCTCATTCACGCATCACCGCATTCCCTCATTCACGCATCACCGCATTCCCTCATTCACGCATCACCGCATTCCCTCATTCACGCATCACCGCATTCCCTCATTCACGCATCACCGCATTCCCTCATTCACGCATCACCGCATTCCCTCATTCACGCATCACCGCATTCCCTCATTCACGCATCACCGCATTCCCTCATTCACGCATCACCGCATTCCCTCATTCACGCATCACCGCATTCCCTCATTCAGGCATCACCGCATTCCCTCATTCAGGCATCTCCTCATTCCCTCATTCACGCATCTCCTCATTCCCTCATTCACGCATCTCCTCATTCCCTCATTCACGCATCACCGCATTCCCTCATTCACGCATCACCGCATTCCCTCATTCACGCATCACCGCATTCCCTCATTCACGCATCACCGCATTCCCTCATTCACGCATCACCGCATTCCCTCATTCACGCATCACCGCATTCCCTCATTCACGCATCACCGCATTCCCTCATTCACGCATCACCGCATTCCCTCATTCACGCATCACCGCATTCCCTCATTCACGCATCACCGCATTCCCTCATTCACGCATCACCGCATTCCCTCATTCACGCATCACCGCATTCCCTCATTCACGCATCACCGCATTCCCTCATTCACGCATCACCGCATTCCCTCATTCACGCATCACCGCATTCCCTCATTCACGCATCACCGCATTCCCTCATTCACGCATCACCGCATTCCCTCATTCACGCATCACCGCATTCCCTCATTCACGCATCACCGCATTCCCTCATTCACGCATCACCGCATTCCCTCATTCACGCATCACCGCATTCCCTCATTCACGCATCACCGCATTCCCTCATTCACGCATCACCGCATTCCCTCATTCACGCATCACCGCATTCCCTCATTCACGCATCACCGCATTCCCTCATTCACGCATCACCGCATTCCCTCATTCACGCATCACCGCATTCCCTCATTCACGCATCACCGCATTCCCTCATTCACGCATCACCGCATTCCCTCATTCACGCATCACCGCATTCCCTCATTCACGCATCACCGCATTCCCTCATTCACGCATCACCGCATTCCCTCATTCACGCATCACCGCATTCCCTCATTCAGGCATCACCGCATTCCCTCATTCAGGCATCTCCTCATTCCCTCATTCACGCATCTCCTCATTCCCTCATTCACGCATCTCCTCATTCCCTCATTCACGCATCTCCTCATTCCCTCATTCACGCATCTCCTCATTCCCTCATTCACGCATCTCCTCATTCCCTCAATCATCAGGCATCACGCAATCCCTTCTTCAGGCAATCATACCAGTAACCCAATACAGCGTGTTGGTATCACTTGCAGGATGCATGTTGGCATGAGTTACAGCATCCATATGTTGGCATGTGTTACAGCATGCATGTTGGTGTGAGGTACAGCATGCATGTTGGTGTGAGGTACAGCATGCATGTTGGTGTGAGGTACAGCATGCTCTCACCGCCTCATTCCCTCACTCCCCCGCCTCTTTCCTGTCACATGGCAGGCTGAGCAAGGAGGCAGAGGAGGAAACGTCCTGCCAGGCAGGACAAAAGGCATCTCAGACAAAACGAGTCAGCTGCTGGCATTTCACAGGCTGTGCTGCAGGAAGAGAAGAGAGAGCTACCCCCCATGGGGATTGAGAGGACAGAGCCACCCCTCATGGATGCATGGATGCAGCCTCATGAATGCAGCCTCATGGATGCAGCCTCATGAATCTCATGGATGTTTGGATTCAGAGGGGTGAAGTGGAAGCACGGGTGCATCACTAGATGTCTACTCCTAGAAGAGGGGTGTGGACAAGGCTGCGAAAGAACAAGTGCGGGATGAAAAGAAGATGCCATCTGCGCTGTAGGACAGAGGTCCTGTGGTTATTGATGGAATTGGATTCATGCAAGGTCTATTGGGTATTATGATTTGCAAACGCATAGCCTGAATGTGACAAGCATGTTTCTAGTTTAGCATTATTGAACTGGATGTGTGGTCCCCTAGAACAAGTTTACTGCACACCTGTAGAAGTTCACTACACACCCCTAGAAATTCATTGCACACCCCTGTTCACTGCACACCCCTAGAAGTTCACTGCACCCCCGTAGAAGTTCACTGGATGTCTACCCCTAGAAGAAGCTCACTGGATATCTACCTCTAGAACAAATTCACTGGATGTCTTCCTCTGGAACAAATTCACTGGATGTCTACCCCTAGAACAAATTCACTGGATGTCTATCCCTACAACAAATTCACTGGACTGGATGTTTACCCCTAGAACAAATTCACTGGATGTCTTCCCCTAGAAGAAATTCACTGGATGTCTACCCCTAGAACAAATTCACTCTTGCTCCTGTCATATATACCCCTAGAAGAAATTCAGAGCACGTTCAGCCATTATCCCCTTCTCTTGACCATCTAGCCATCCATCCTTTCACCATCGAGTCATCTGTGGACTTCATCATCTAATCCAACCATCTTCCCCTTCACTTTCCCATCCATCCAGCCACCAACTTTCACCATCTTTCTCCCTTCACTTCTCCTTTCCAGCCACCAACTTTCACCATCTTTATCCCTCCACTTCTCCATCCAGCCACCAACTTTCACCATCTTTCTCCCTTCACTTCTCCATTCCAGCCACCAACTTTCACCATCTTTATCCCTCCACTTCTCCATCCAGTCACCATCTTTCACCTTCTTTCTCCAAGTCACATCTCCAGCCATCCAACCACCATCTTTCACCACTTATCTTCCCTTCACTTCTCCATCCAGCCAACCACCTTTCACCATATTTCTCCCTCCACTTCTCCATCCAGTCACCATCTTTCACCATCTTTCTCCATCTTTCTCCATGTCCAGCCATCCAGCCACCATCTTTCACCACCTATCTTTCCCTTCACTTCTCCATCCAGCCACCATCCAGCCCTCCATGGCCACCCCACCATGGAAAAGCACCCGTCTGTTAGTTTTTTTTTTTTTTTAGGCCTCACCATCAGAGCCAGGGACAAAAATCCTTCCCATCAGCATCTCCGGGCGCGATGCTTACGGGATGAGACCCGGAGGCGTTAAACTCGGGTACTGCCGTGCAACTCGGCTAAAAATCCCCCGACGTAGAGCAACATTGCGCTTGCTCTAGCCACACCTACCCCAGTGTGGTCTTCCCCTTTGTAGAGCAAACCAATTCCAGCAGTGCTGAAACCAGCTTGCCCTAGCCACACCCACGCCAGTGTGGACTTTTTCCCTTTGATGCTGAGGTCTAGCCACACCCGCCTGGGTGTGGACTAGCCTAGGAGACCAAGAACCCCCCACACCCACCCCAGTGTGAGAAAGCTCTTAAGTGGAAAGAGGAGATTTCTCCACACCTGCCCCAGTGTGGACTACTCTCTCTCTCTTAAGTGGCTGAGGACCCTCCCCCACACCCGCCTGGGTGTGATATTGACTTGAAGAGCTCATAACCCACTCCAGCAGTGATGCTACCTGGCCATCCGGGTGCCCAGAACGATTTGAAGGCCTGAACCTCCCTCCAATGTACAGACGCCGGCCGGCCGTCTGCACACCGTCAGGGCTCCAAAAAGTTCCGGCCCGGTTGCGCATCACAGCACCACTGGAACGGGTATCCGAACTCTGCCCCCCACACCCTCCCCAGTGTGGGACAGCGCAGCTGCATGTCTGTCTCATGCTGCCACTCCCAAGGCCCCATCAAGCCCGGGCCACATCTCAGCCACAGCTCAGCCCCCTCCTGGTCGAGGCACCCAGGCAGCCCCCATTGCGCGGCGGAATCGTTGTTTCCTGCACAGGGCAAACAAACCGAGTCAGTATAGTGAAATATGCATGGCTGGGAAAGAACAAAAGTTGAATCAAGTGTGAAACAGTGAAAGGAGACAGCTTGCAAGGAGAGAGCTTGCAAAAACAGAACTTACTTTGTGGGTCCCAGCTTGAAAGTTGAAGCGCCGTGCAGTGCAGATCCTCACAGCAGCTCCTCCCAGTAACCCCCCCAGCAGCTCCTTGTTTCCTGCACAGGAAGAATGCACAAAGTCAGTAGAGTGACAGACATGGCTGGAATATACAAACTGAGTCAAGAACGAGAGAGCGTATAAAGACAGCGTAAGGAGACAACTTACTACGTAAGTTGCAGCGCCATGTCATGCCATCTTAGCAGCTCCACCTTCCACCGCCGTTCAGATCCTTCCACCGCCGTTCAGATCTTTCCAGCAGCCGTTCAGATCTTTCCACCGCCATTCAGATCCTTCCACCGCCGTTCAGATCCTTCCAGCAGCGTCACTTCAACTCCAGCAGCGGCACTTCAACTCCAGCGTCGTCACTTCAACTTACCTCCAGCACCATTGGCTGCCTTCCCTGCACAAGGCAAATGCACGAAATCAGAACTTGCTATAGCGCTCACAGAAAGAATATCTAACAACAAGTAAACAGCAAGCATGAAATCTGAAGTTTGCATAAACGACAGCAAAGCGAGAGAGGATGTTACTTTGAAAGTTCGCTTGAAGTACTTGAGGATGGCGGATGGAAGGGGACTGCTTCCCTTCAACTCCAGCAGCGTCACTTCAACTCCAGCAGCGGCACTTCAACTCCAGCAGCGTCACTTCAACTCCAGCAGCGTCACTTCAACTCCAGCAGCGGCACTTCAACTCCAGCAGCGTCACTTCAACTCCAGCAGCGGCACTTCAACTCCAGCAGCGGCACTTCAACTCCAGCAGCGGCACTTCAACTCCAGCAGCGTCACTTCAACTCCAGCAGCGGCACTTCAACTCCAGCAGCGGCACTTCAACTCCAGCGTCGTCACTTCAACTTGACTCTAGCACCATTGGCTGCCTTCCCTGCACAAGGCAAATGCACGAAATCAGAACTTGCTATAGCGCTCACAGAAAGAATATCTAACAACAAGTAAACAGCAAGCATGAAATCTGAAGTTTGCATAAACGGCAGCAAAGCGAGAGAGGATCTTACTTTGAAAGTTCGCTTGAAGTACTTGAGGATGGCGGATGGAAGGGAGCTGCTTCCCTTGAACTCCAGCAGCGTCACTTCAACTCCAGCAGCGTCACTTCAACTCCAGCAGCGTCACTTCAACTCCAGCAGCGGCACTTCAACTCCAGCAGCATCGGCTGCCTTCCCTGCACAAGGCAAATGCACAAGATCAGAACTTGCTATAGCGCTCACAGAAAGAATATCTCAAAAAACAATAAACACCAAGCATGAAATGTGAAGTTTGCATAAAGCAGCAGCCAAACGGCAACAAAGCGAGAGAGAATCTTACTTTGAAAGTTCGCTTGGAGTACTTGAGGATGGCGGATGGAAGGGACCTGCTTCCCTTCAACTCCTGCAGCGGCACTTCAACTCCAGCAGCGGCACTTCAACTCCAGCAGCGTCACTTCAACTCCAGCAGCGGCACTTCAACTCCAGCAGCGGCACTTCAACTCCAGCAGCATCGGCTGCCTTCCCTGCACAAGGCAAATGCACGAGATCAGAACTTGCTATAGCGCTCACATAAAGAATATCTCAAAGAACAGCAAGCAGAAAATCTGAAGTTAGCATAAAGCAGCAGCCAAACAGCAACAAAGCGAGAGAGATTCTTACTTTAAGCTTTCGCTTGGAGACTTGAGGATGGCGGATGGAAGGGGCCTGCTTCCCTGTAACTCCAGCAGCGGCACTTCAACTCCAGCAGCTGCCTTCCCTGCACAAGGCAAATGCACAAAATCAGAACTTGCAATGGAGCTCACAGAAAGAATATCACAAGCGACAAGTAGACAGCAAACATGAAAACTGATAAAGTTTGCATAAAGCAGCAGCAAAACGGCAAGAGAGTCTTACTTTTGAACGCTGACGCGCAGTACTTGCGGTTCTTCTTGGCTCAAAGGAGATTCCCTTGGCTTTGGCTGCTCCTTGAAGGCTCCCTTGCAGCTCACGCGTCAGCACTGGCGCTCCTTGCTTCCCTCCAACTCCAGCAGCGTCACTTGAACTCCAGCAGCGTCACTTCAACTCCAGCAGCGTCAACTCCAGCAGCGTCTACTCCAGCAGCGGCGGCTGCCTTTCCTGCATAAGGCAAATGCACGAAATTAGAACTTGCTATGGAGCTCACAGAAAGAATATCTCAAAGGACAAGTTAACAGCAAGCATGAAATCTGAACTATGCATAGACCAAGAGCAAAACGACAACAAAGAGAGTGAGAGAAGAGCTTACAACAGGCTCTGATCCGCGTGCGCCGCTCCCAAGGCTCTGGTCCGCGTGCGCCGCTCCCAAGGCGCGGATCCGCGTGCGCCGCTCCCAAGGCGCGGATCCGCGTGCGCCGCTCCCAAGGCGCGGATCCGCGTGCGCCGCTCCCAAGGCGGGGATCCGCGTGCGCCGCTCCCAAGGCGCTGATCCGCGTGCGCCGTTCCCAAGGCGCGGATCCG